GCTTGAAAAAACGCTCCCACAGTATATGCAGCAGGGTTGGAGCTCTCGATTGCTGAATTCCACAGAAGATCAAGCTGACGTGTTCGCTCCTGTTCCTATGGCATGTCCAATTGAAGGTCTCATTACCCTTCAGCAGCTGATCAACAACTGGCATCATCAAGAGCCTTTTGTCCATGCTTTTACATGTGACTCCCCTTGGATCTGCATTCAGGTGTCCCGGTTTCCCTTCATAGGCCAGAAAAGCCAGTGTTCGGTTCTATGGGATAGAAGTCAGCCCGTGCAGATTCCGATTTTCAGTGATCGCCAAGGCATCCATGTTGAGTGGCATGATTTTGTCGTGACCGCGGGGGTCATTCACCTGGGTGCAACACCCGCCGAAGGCCATTATCGTAGCATTCTTTGGCACAGTGGCACAGTCAAGTCTTGTGATGACTTCCGATCCGCCCTTCCTTTGGGTGTTGACCCGGACATTGCTTCCACTATCTACCTCCTTTGGATCATCCCCAAGTCTTGCACAAGCCAGCATTGGAAACGTCCTTTGCCTATGAAGCCAAAGAGTTTTGATGAATTGCTCAACGATCGCTTTGCATAAGCACGCCTGTTTTCGAACCTGGTGCCTTGACACTCCAGAAGTGTCCGGCCTGGAGAAATCCAGCTGCGGCCCAACACGGGCAACCAGCACGGTTGCCGGCAGATGAAATGAAATGAAATGAAAAATATAAGGAATAAATTGTGTGGTTTATTTATGTTATGGGTCGTTTATTATAGATATGTTTGGTTTTTTTTATTTAATTGATATTATGATTATTTACTAATTCATTTAATGTAATATTTTATTTTTTTTTAAAAAATAGTATTAGGGTTGAATATAATTGAAATATTATTTATAAAGGTTTATATTTTTGTTTAATGTAATGAATTTAATCTAAATTGTTTATTAAATTAGGAGATATTGGTTTAGTTTTTATTTATATGGAAATTAAATTTGATATTATTTTTATGGTCGAATTAGCATTTGGTATATTATATAGACGATATAGTTTTGCACGAATGTGAGCAATTTATGATTTAATATTTGTTTATTCGATATGGTTATTATTTTCCGTTATTAAATATATTCTGATTTATTTTAATAATAAGATAGGATTGATTTATTGCATTTATAGCCTTATTTATAGATTATTAATGTAAAAATATTCTAAATTGATATTAAAATATATGTCTTTCTAATATTGAATTTCGCGATGGCCTTTTTATGCGGTTGGGAGTAAATCGCTTGGGGCGCGCGGTATCCGGCTCATCTTGGAACCCCTTATTTTTTAAAATCTATTTTTAATTTACATGTCTGAATAAATTTATATAATGAATTTTAATTAAATAGTTAATTTTAGAATTAAATAGTAATTTATTTATTAGCTAAATCAAAAGTGCTAAAATTATTATATCGTCTTTTAAAATATAATTTTTTGAGAAATACATATTCAATGATAATAATTTAGATTATATTTTAAAACATTATATGTTTATTAAATACATATTCAATTTGAATATCTCCGGATTATAATTAATAATGAATAATATAATATATGATGAATTAAATATAGACAGGAATCTCTGATGAATAATACAATATATGCGATTTCCCATGAATCTCTGACAGGAGATTCTTCTTCATTGCCAGCACAACATCATCAATAAGCATGGTTACGCCCTCAACAAGGTCTGAACAACTCCAAACACGGCTCAATAGTGGCACCATATGATCCCCAATGGCTACATGCACCAATCACTAGATTACACAATACATGCTCATGTAACACCATTACATGCTCATGATCTCCGGTCAGAATCCGGATTTCTCCGCTCAGAATCCGGGTTTTTCCGGGTCTAATCCGGATCAATATTTTCTCCGGATTTTAATTTCTATTTCTCCGGGTTACGTGTTATCTAATACATGCTCATCAATCCAAATATATATTCAACCCATTTTCTCCTATATTACGTTAATCACGCTCGCATTCTATATCTATATGAGGGACGGTCAAAACGCCTTATTTTTCTTCAGCTAAAAAATGGACGTCATCGGTTTTGAGGTGGGCCTTATCATTTTACAACATTTTAAATTCGTCGCATATTTATAACCATATACAGCGTTGGGGTTATCGATTTTGAGGTGGACCTTATCGTTGTGCAGGGTTTTATGTACAAACCTATCCATCCCTCTTTACTAAAGTGGTCTTCGCATATTTTGACCGTGGCGCATACACAATACAAGAAGGTATTCTTCCATTGGGTTAGCACCATCTTTCATATAGATAATGGTCTCCTCCAAGCAAGCCTACCCGGAAATATTCAAATATATAATCAATAATATATAATACAACAAATATATTACAATATATATTATAACCAAGAAATTTATTTAATATATTAATTAATACCATTTATGCAATTATATAATATCTATCCTTTTATTCAATACATATTCAAAATAAAAATTTTTATACCAAAAAATATATCAATATTTTTCAAAAAAATGTATTTTTGCGGATTGTTACGACTTAACTAATAATTTTTAAAATTTTTTTTTACTACATAATTATTTCTTTAATTAATTTAAGAATTCAATTTAATAATAATTTATTATCATAATATGTTTCATTTAATTTTTATAATATATTATATATCTTTAAGATTAACATTACCCAAATTGTAATCGTATAGATATTAGTATCGTTATTAAAATTATTATAGGGTATCGTTATGTTTGAGAGTCTAAATATTAAGTGTCGTTATTATATATATTTCGGAATTTGTTAGTAGTATTAGAATATATATTGGTTTGGATATTACGTAATTAATATTAAATTAAAAAGAATATATACGAAACATATCGGAATATAAAGAATTTATAAAAAGAAAAATATGTAATTTTTATTATAATATAAAATAATATAATGAAATATAAAATAAATTAAGATAATTAAAATTAAATTCGATATTATAAATAAAATCCATTAAAAATCAATCAAAGAAAATTCGATCCATAACATTCCCGATATCATTCAAAATAATTCAATTATTTATTAATTTCTAAAAATTCTATACTTCTAATTTCCAATATATCTCATTCCACAAATTCTAAATTTCTAAAGAATTTCGACAAATTCAATTATATTATACATGTTCAATTATTTTAATTTAATATCGAAATCCGACGCATAACTTAAGGCCAAGGGGGGTAGCGAAAGCTAGCGCTCCAGAATAGATCGATATGGAGCAAAGGAGTATGCACTTGATCTCGAAACCAGGGAGTGGAAAGAATATTGGTATTTTAGGATGCGAGGTCTAGATATAGACGTAGCTTACTCACCAAGAAATTTGAAATGTTTGGGTGTTAGATTGGAAATATATACGGTTACCTATAGTACACTATAATCTCTTTGAAGAAGCACATAGCCATGACCCAGCGATACGGTTGTGAAGGTGGCCGAGAGGAGTAGCTTCACAAGAAGCAAAAAACAGGCTGAAAGAAAGAGCGCGGCCGAATTTTTCCGCATGCAGTGAGAGTGTGAGAGTGAGAAAGATAGGGGGGGGGGCTTCGACCTGAAAAATCAGGGATTAGGATTTGCACCCGGTCGAAAAAAACCTTGTTATCGCAAGAGTAACTCCAGCTAGCTTCGACTAAATGGTTTTAGAAGACAATTTCAATCATTTCGTGTGCACCTCAACCCGGACTAACGGTCGTCTTAGCTGCGATCTGCTGTCCGTCGTCTTCCACTTCAAGGATCTCAAGTTGGAAGTAATACGGCTCCGGCCGACCAGTGGAGCTACACTCCCAGGTAAAGAGTCCTTTATATGTGGCTCTTAGCCCGGATCCTCCTGCGAGAGAAGAGAGAGAAGAGAGACAGAAAGACGAGAAAAAGAGAGAGAGAGAGAGAGAGAGAGCGAACAAAGAGATAAAAGAGAAAGATAAAAGAGAAAGAAAGAGAGACAGTGAGAGTGTGAGAGTGAAAGTGATCCTCCTGTGAAAGAAGAGAGAGAAGAAAGACAGAAAGACGAGAGGAAAGAGAGAGAGAGAGAGAGCGAACAGAAAGATGAGAGAGAGAAATGAGAGAGAGAGAGAGACAGAGACAGTGAGAGTGTGAGAGTGAGCAGTGAGAGTGTGAGAGTAATCCTCCTGCGAGAGAAGAGAAAGAAGAGAGACAGAAAGACGAGAAACAGAGAAGAGAGAGAGAGAGAGAGAAAGCGCGAACAGAGAGATGAAAGAGAGATGAGAGAGAAAGAGAGAGAAAGAGAGTGAGAGTGTGAGAGAAAGTGTTGAGGGGGGGGGGGCTTCGACCTAAGAAAGAAACCTTGCTATCGCAAGCCAAGGACGATTTACAAATACATCTCGAAGCCAGATAGGCTTTGGTAGCAGGGCTTCAACGTCAGCACTGACTTTGGAGACTGAATGGTTTTAGAAGACAATTTCAACCACTTCGTATGCACCTCAACCCTAACCAACGGTCGTCTTAGGTGCGATCTGCTGTCCGTCGTCTTCATACGGCTCCTCCTTTATATGTGGCTCTTAGCCCGGATCCTCCTGCGAGAGAAGAGAGAGAAGAGAGACAGAAAGACGAGAAACAGAGAGGAGAGAAAGAGAGAGAGAGAAAGAGAGAGAAAGAGAGAGAGAGAGGCAGTGAGAGTGTGAGAGTGAGAGTGATGAGGGGGGGGGGGGGGGGGGGGGGGGGGGGGGGTTCGACCTGAAAAATCAGGGGTTAGGATTTGCACCCGGTCGAAAGAAACCTTGCTATCGCAAGAGTAACTCCAGCTAGCTTCGCTAGCTTTCGTGATTAAATTTCCATATTATATATAACTAATATATATATATTTATATTTATATGTATGTAAAATATATATATATTTATTGAATTCATCAAATTTGGTCATATTATATATTTTAAACAATACATTTATTAAATTATATATATATGATTATATATGAATGTTTAAATCTATTAAAGATGTATGTGATTAAGTGCGATTATGCCTTCAATTTCGTACCTCGCAATAAAATCATGGGCCGGAGACCGTCCACTCTGGCTGAATCTGGCTGAGTTGCTGCTCACGTGTGACCAGGATGAATCTCCGATAGCTTTCGTGGAGTACTTGGCAAACGCCACGGTAGAGCGTCCCGCGGCTTTCGATTTGCAGTTTCATAGGTTTCATCTTTCTCTTCAACTCTTCGATCGATTCTCCTGAACAATTGCAAGGATTGCAAAGCAATGTAAACCCGGGCTTCTTGCAAGACCTTCCAAAAGTCAGATTCGGTATGTTGGACAAGCACAAGAATTCTCCCATGAGCAGCCTTCATGGTCTTGACAATCCTGAAGACATGAAAGCAAATGCTTGCCACATACCCTGCAAGGCCAAATCAGTTTGAACCTAAGTTTGCATCACACGACGCACGCTTGGACCCCCCACTGAACTCTTCCAACCTCCTTCACTTCTTGGTCCCTTCTTGGCGCCCAAGTTTGAGCTTAGAGACAATCATGCTGACTTTCTCTCTCAAACAATCTCTTGCTACAATCTTTGAAGGCTGGCTTCAGGCAGCAAGAGCGAGGTTAAACCGTTCCCTTCCCACTTTCCACAGTGAAGATTTCGGTACCTGAATCTACTCTGTCAATGACGGAACCTGGTAGGTTTGGGAAAGCAAATGAGTTCACCCATTGGTGCGGGACCCAAGAGGATCCGAAGGTCCTTGGCTTGAAGCATTCAACGCAGCCCATTTGAGCTAGCATTTTAGCAACCAACGGGTTTTGCTCTATTTTCCTTGCTCCAGGGGGTCTTTGGGCAGTTTTCCTGGTTTAACGCACACCCATGACGCAATCACGCTGGCTGTCCTGAACCATGGTCAAGCATTTTGGCGGAGCACGCGCCATACAGGACGCCCTTCCTCCAAACAAGAATGGACGCTCAGCTGTTATGTGTGTGGCGGATCTTTTCACACTAGAGTTTCGGTCAGGAAATGCAAATTTACGGTGTCAACTCTCAAAAAGACTGGATTGAGGGCTCGATGGAATCTGTAGAACATTCGGCAACACAAGTGTTTATCGCGATGCTGACGCACATGGACGCCGGCTGAGGGGAAGCCCTTGGCTTAAGGGACTTCAGCCACCGTCTGAAGAACGCCCCTAATCACAAGGGATTAGCGAGCAGATTGAACATTGAATGTTGCAACTACTTCAAACTGAACTTCTTTCACGTTCACCATCGTTCAACAAACGTCCCGCCTGTCCAAGAGGCGACGTGTATCGATTGGGCAGCACTCCAGGCTCTGTGCGACAGCTGAGGGCAAGACCTAGCGGCAGCTTGGGGGGGTTCACTGCGTGTTCTGGTCCCAGGGCATTGCAAATCCGAAGTTGCACACTGACAATGGATGATGATGAGGATGATGATGAGGATGAGGATGAGGATGATGATGATGATGATCTTGGGAGGTTTACACCAAAGCCGTGATACTCTTTTTCCCGATTGTTGCCGCGATTCAGGAAATCCAGCCAAACGCATGAATGTATACGTTTCAAAGTAAATAAACATCCTTTTTGGGGGATTGGTGTCATCCACTTTCTATCCACTATAACGATTAATGTCGAGTCAATGGAGGTCGGTCACATGTCAATACCACTGCTTGCTGGTCGATGTTTTGTTGAACTCTGTCTCAGCAGATCCCCGGAAGGAGTTGGTTGGTGTTTTGGCGGTGTTGTCGGAAAGGTATGGATGGGAGCTAGAACTTTCAAGCTGATAAGAGTCAATTATGATCCACATAGCGTTGTGGAACATATGAGAAAATGGCTTGTGTTTCAATAGCAGGGCAAGCAGCTCCAAAGTCAAAGCAAATCACAATCCAGCACCACTTCTGCCACGTTCATCCACGTCGCGAGCATGAGACATGTCTTTCTTCTCTACATCAAATTTGTGCGCACCTATGGTCGCCATATTTGCCGACTGATGGAATCAGCTTGCATGTGTGTTCGTGTATGCATGCAACATCGGGTGCACGTGTGAACTTATGCATGTCCAAACAAAGACCACAGGTTTCTATTTTATGGCCATAGCAAATTTAATGTACATGGAACATGTAAATAAATATAGCAAAATTATACGTACGAACATCATGCAACAAGTGGTTTCTGTGGGTCTACCTGGGCTGTCGTTTCAGCAAGTATGAACTATTGATAGATACGGACATATAGGGAACTGTGCATTTCATATATAACATTCATCCGGTGACTTCTTGAAGCTGCTCACACCTCACGGCAGTCACCGGAATCAGCTCGCACAATTCCGTCGGTAATCATGTAGCCCTGGCGCCACACTCCGAACAAATGGCACGGGATGGCGGAGGATGGAGATGGATGGCCTCAAAGACCGGCGTGATGGTGGTGGAGGTCGCCGAGCAGTCAATGTACATGGCCGTTGGCCTTGCTGGAGAGCACTGTGGCGGTGTGGGAGTGAGCCAACACCCACCACACAGGTACCAAACGGTACGCATCCAAAACGAACAGAAATCGGCTCGTGTATGTGTGGATGTTTTCCTAGCATCACCTGCCATCATTTTATTGAGGCCTGATTCTGGCCAACACTCGGACTTAGGTGGCATGTTTCACACCTGGCCTGACAAAGGCCAAAGCGCTGGACACCAATGCACCAAGGGTTGGAGGCAAGGGATGTCCTGTCAAAAAACCTTTGGAAAACGCAAAAAGGAAACAGGGCGGTTCCGCCTTAGAAACTGGAGTTAAACCTGGGAGGTCGTTGATTTGGCTCTGACACGGACTGTTCCCTCCGATTGGCTTCGTTGAAAGGCGAGCATCACTTGCAACGCACTGGCCATCATGGAGAGGGACAGAAGGCACCCAACTGCCTCGACGCCTACAGGGTGACCATGCTTGTCAAACATCCAGGCCATAAGAGATGTGACACAACATCGCAACTCTAGGTCCAGGCCATAAGAGATGTACGCAACATGCCATGTGGGCCATGTGGGTGGAAATCTCTCGAGGCTGAGACAAGTATGTTGTGCCCGGATTTCTGTGTGCGAAAGAAAAAACTTGGCCGGCGGGCAGGATTGGCAGGCGACAACAGAGGGACGGTCCTTTCCAAAAACACCAGACTGAATGAGGGCCGGTATCGCTCATGCGTCATGCGTCATGCGTCAGTTCAATGCCCCGGTGCCACGCAAACAGGCGGGTCACGGTTCCCCCACTCCTGCGGGGTCTGGTGTGGACCGGGTGTGGACCGTTAAGGTACAACCACCACCATTGAATGGAACTGCTTGGAGCTTGCACGGGAAACGCCTGAGGCCTTTCCGTCAAACCATGCTGTGGAAAGCGTTTTGGGAAGTCCACGGGAAGTCCGTGGGAGGTGCAACGGACCAACAGGGAGCTCAAGACAGCCGTGGGAGGTGCCCATCCAGAAATACAAGCTGGGAGGTCCTCTGTCACTGCGGGAACAGGTCTGTCAAACGATAACTTTCCAAAAAGGGTTCCATGTTTCATGTTGGGCTTGAACTTGACCCCTGTGTGGTGCTTTTCTATGACCCAGCCACTAAGAGCCACCAGCCTCGAGGTTCCGGCGCTGGCGTTTCGTCAAGGCACGAAGCTCCATCAAGGATTTGCAAATCTTGGTGCGCCAGGACATCGGCTGGCAGCTCGGCTCTAGAATCCTTGGCTGTTCGCGCTCGCCGGTTCCAGCAGCTTGGGCACCACCACGGGGTCTTCTCGAGTGCTTTCCCAAGTGGTCTTTTCGAGTGCTTCGCGGCTTCGCGATTGGTCAACATCATTAGCAACCCGGGCTCTGCTTCGGACTCATCGAGATTTGCTCACTCGGGAACATCTAGAATGTAGCAAGCATATGAGCATATGTATCCTAGGGATACCCAGGGCAGCAACCTACGGTAGTAACATGTTCTTTAGATTTCTTTAGGGTGCTCGCGGCTTTGTATTGGCGTGTGGGCCTTGTGAAGGGTCCCGTGTTCGAGCATTTTTGATCATATCTGGTTCTTCAATCATGCATCAACTCCAAGCTCTACATGGGATGTCCAACTTGAAAAGCCGGTATCTGCCATCCTGTTTGCAAAGAGTTGCTGCAAAAAGGTGAGTATCCTCAAGCTTCTGAACCGCCAGCCAAATCCTACTTGACTGATGAGGTTCGTTGGAGGATGCGATTCACCTCCAGTCTGTTTGGATACTCACTGTTGCCATCTGGTGCTTATAGAGCTTGGATGACCCTAGGTAGGTCAAACAAAAGCAAGCCTTCTCCCTTTCCCACAGAAACTTGCCTGTGCGATAAAAATACCGGCCATCCCCACTTGTCTTCCACACTTGTCTATGCTTCGGCACCAAGGCTCAAGAAGGAACAGGTCCGGATCTCTAACCGAAAGTCAGCCTGAGCTTTGTTCGAGTAGGTCTAGTCGTTGGATCACTGATATTTAGAAGTGCAACGGTTGCATGTCATGTTGACTTTCCCAGAATTGGTGTAAGGGAAAATCTACAGGAAGATCATAGTTTTGGTGGTGAAAACAGGGTGTCCTGCAGGTTTTTCCTTAAACCAATTCATCTTTACTTCATATCTGCGTGCCAAATAGTGATCTTCCCGATGACCACACCCAGCACACGAATAAATCTGCGCATGCTGAAGAATTGTCAGTTGAGCATGTGCAAAATTGCTAGGCTTGATGCTAGGACCATTGAACATGTTGAATAGATGGATGGATATATACATATATATACATATATACTGATATGAGTGACTCGAGGGTGCAAACTCAGCTGAAATTTGAAGACTCGAGCGGGAAAACAAAACTCAGGGACTGTCAGGAACAACAGGACATGTTAATCTTTGACCATCCTAAAGCTAATTTTGTTAGAACCTGGTGTTTCAACGAGTTGGTCTCCTAGTATGTGCGAATCCTGGCTACTTTTGGAAGTTGATGGATGGGAACTCACCACTGGAAAGTTAATGAGATGGTCGATCGAAAGTTCACACGCGCGGCAGGTAAAGGTCTTTTTCCAGTCAGGCAGGGTAGGACCTTACTGACCCCCCGGCAATTCCAAAACTGGTGACGAGGCATGCCAAATGGCAAGTGGCAGCATCCCTCCGAAAAGGACAAAACAAGTAAAAGATCCAACGAATCGAATCGACGATCCTGTTGTACGAAATCCCTGCTCAACTACCCCATCCCTTCTCCCGTTCTCAAAGCTACGAACACTCTTCGCCAGTTCTCCGCCGTCCACGTACCATCCTCCAGCATCTGCTGCAAAAGCATGGACTGGACGACCCAGCCTGACCAGCTTGGACGGCGCTCGGCACCGGTGGACGACCACCCGCCGGACCGAGAGGCCGCTTGGTCTCGAGAGGCCGCTTGGTCTCGCTACAATCCGACCGGCTACGGTGGTTTCAGAGTAGATGGCAAAGACCCCAAGATGTCCTAGACAGAATGGGGGTCCATATAAATCCACCATAATTGAAAGGACTCCCGAAAACCATCTTTATCCAATCCAAGCTGCAAGAACAACCAGCTCCCTCTAGCAATCGCCAGGAATCTTGAGGCTCCACCGACTGGCCGCAAATCAGAATGGCGCCCAGCTCCAGGTCCAGGGTCAGAACCTGGTCGGAATGGCCCGTGAATGCCGATCCCTCCAGTAGGATGTGGCTTGGACTTGCATAGACCTGACCGACTTGCAAGAAGCAAGTTGGGGTGAAGAGGTGCATGAGGTGCATGGCGTTCAGAACAACCCTAACCTCAGTTTGCCGGGTGAGAATATTGTAATATTGAGATGCGCCCGAACATATTATATACCCCAAACACCCTTGCTCTACGCACTACACCGGCGTAAGCCTTCTTCACAGACCCGCGCAACCCCCAACAACACTCACAACCACCTCAAGGAGCTTAAGTAGAAGATACACATCTGACAAATCTATACGCCCAGGAGCTGGGGCCGCTGGGAGGGTAGGCCAACGGATTGGCCTGGGCTGCCCGCCGCTGACCTGGCTGAGACGTGCCACCCCTAGGGCCCCTAGCCGTTTTTGGACGTCTGAGTCTGAGCCAATGATTCTTTAGAGCCGCAGCTACTGGGCTTGGAAGCCATCTTCATAGCCATCAAAACAAATCTTATCCTTGGCTCGAACATGCCTTAAACCTGGCAGCCGCTTATGCAGCTCAGCAAATATCAAAGTTGAAGACATGAGGCTACGAATAAAACTTAAATTCATCTTATATTCTATCTAAACTGTTCCAAGCCTGCCACACCCTAATCAGCACACTCCGCAATCCGAGGAATCCATGTTTTGTTCAATCCGTTCCACTGCGCAATCCGAAGCCTAATCGGTAATCCGTGAACCGCGGTTAGCTCTCTTTTCGGGGTTCGGGCCCCAACAAGGAAGGGTTGAGGCCCAAGACCTCTTCTTCTTGGGTTTGGATCTGGTAACCCAGCGCACCCCAAACAGAGTTGAGGCACAAGACCTCTTGCTCGGGGTTGGGATCGATCTGGTACCCCAGCAAACCAAACACAGGAAGGGTTGAGGTCCAAGGCCTCTTCTTCGGTGTTTGGATCTGGTCATGATGGAAGCGCCAGGATTGAGCCCATCTTGGGGCCTGGATTGGCTTACGCTGAAGCTTCCTTGAGTCTAATTCCTTGAGTACCCTGCACTGCTGAGGGGACATCTCTGGAAAGCCTCCAAAGGGCTTCAAATCAACCATAAACACTTATGCCATATACCGGCAATCACTTACATACTCATATCACATCGCTGAGCTTGCTGTTTCCTTGTGTCCTTCGTTCTGAATCCTTTCGCTTCTCGAAACCGACCCGTTTCGGTACCCACCCGCAGGAGCTCACGCCATCCAGCACCCAGCTCATCACCTGAAGAGCGGACCCCGAAGGTTCGAACTGGTCAACCGGCCCAAGGGAGAAGTCCAAAAGGTCTCCACCGGAGTCTGTCTTGAATACCTGGATTCAAATGATGGAGAGGTTGCATGATGGCTTCACTTAGGCGCCTGGCTCATCTACTTTCTTCCTTCGTTCTCCCGAAAAAGGCGCTTGAGACCTCGAGACCGAGACCGCTCCTCCCCAAATGTAGGAAGCAAAAAGGATCAGCCAACAACGCCCCAATGCGGCGGAACTCGCTTTAAGTAAGACCGTCCCCTAAAAGGTCATAGGTCAAGGGTCAACTGCTGACACGAAGACATATGCTATGTCTTAGGAACCCAAGTGAGGGGATGACCCCCTGGACTTCATGTAGTTACTGCATGTTGCTGCATCGTCAGGCATTTTGGTCCCTGGATTCAAGTCGGATTTGCAAGTGACCGAGAAAACACAACATGAGCAACTGTAAAACTCACATACACCAAGAACAGTTCAAACACAGCACCGTTCATTTAAGTAAGTGGTGCCTTTTGTGGTGCATAGAAGGTATGCACTGAGGAGCATTCTTTATGCGAGTATCCAAGTGAGCTGGCATCCCCTGCCCCGACCCCACTATGAAGGTCTATGATGGTCTATGTCCGGTTTCTTCTTCTGTCGCCCACCACTGTCAAGTCGCCAGATGCGGGCACCTCATCCTCAGCAAATTTCTCGCGAAGGGATTCGGAGCCCGAAAATAAAAGCCACACCAGGAACCAGCTGAATAAACGAGAGATCTCAACCAATGTCAATCTGAACATCAACCAAACCAACTCATACTAAATCAACCGTTTTCGGCACCCAAGACTTCAGTCTCCACACCAAATGCGGCCATCGTCTCCGCATGTCTCCAGCGCCACAGCGCCCACGTGCTGGAATCAATGCCTGTGGAAGGCGGGAAAGCCGAAGGCTCGGTGGAAAAGACAGACAGTCGGAAGCAAGTCGCGAAAGGAGATGATCCGAAAAACCGAGTCACATGGTGAGTTCACATTGTGGGGCTGATCAGATGTGGACTTAATTCCTGGACGAAGGGAAGTCGTTCACACCTCACTCGGTTATCTCTGGTGTTGTAGCCTGCATCATCATCTGAATGCGTGACTTGCTTCCTTGCGCTGAAGGCCCTTGCGCGAACATATCATCTATAGTCTATAGATATCTATAGCCCGCCAGGTAGGAATCCAGAAACTGTGATCAAACTTCTGCACGGCAACATATGTTTGGTTGCTGGACAGGGCAGTTGAACCATGGAGGACTCATCGCTCCCCTCCATTTCCCCCTTGCACGGTCGGACTGGTGCCCCATCACTATCCAGTTGAGGCTCAGGTGTTCTCCCAATTCTTCAAGACCTCTGCCTCCACAGGATCCACAAACACCAAGTCCTCAGCACTGAGTCGAAACTCCAAATGGAAAGTTGAAACATGGTGGCAAATGGAAAGTTGAAACTCCACAAGGTAGCGCCGGAAGGGGGCACCTTCGAAAGTGATACATTGGCACCAGCCCAGTGATCTTACTGAACTGCTTGGTACTCTGCTTGGTGACTTCATGGGAGAAAAACAGCTAGGTTGCAAGTGTCGGTCCTATGTCCTCAGCACTTTCTACTTCGACATCTGCGACTTTCCTCCGCCATGTCCCGATCTTTCCGTCACGGCTCCCGCTCTTGCGCGCTCCGTCGTGCTCGTTCCACCTGCGAGTCATCCCAGCACCTCTCGCGGTAGTCCAACAGCGCCTAACAGGGCCCAGTGGATCCGCAGTGGGCCACAGGGCCAGTGCCCTACTAGGGCCATCCCCAGTGCATCTCGCCATTGTTCCCTCTAGGACACTACCTGGTAGGCACGGGGTGCCTTTTGGCCAAAAAGTATCCACGACAAACCATGGCAAAAGCACATTTCACGGGTCGCACGCCGTGTGGTTGCTTTAGCTGGATGAAAAGAGGTAATTACGTCAACATGGTTGTTCCGAACACCCCTCACGACATCATTGCTTCTGGGCAGATCCTTCCACCGGTCTTCCTTTTTCGACCGATCCGAATCCGTCGTACGTCTGGACCGTCGGTCCAGACGTCGCCTTCATGGGCGTGTCACCCTGGGTCAAGTTTAGGATGTCCATATCGTAGCGGTCCTCAAGAGGCGGAATCGACGCCGAACCTTCGCAACAGACCCTCTTTTTGGGGGAGAGGAAGACAGCCAGCGGCAAAGGCTTGTTGCATGGATTCAATTCGAACTGCAAAGACACAACAGCAATCAAGTGTACCCACTTAGGACTCTTGGAGCAAGTTGCCTGCGGTCCAACATGTTCAAAAACACCGCTGCCAGCTATTTGTGCTCAAGACTGCCGAAGGAGAAGCACCCCACCACACCCTGCCTTGAAATTGAAGAAACACAAAATCAAACACCTCAAGAAATACATCCCCCAAACCTGCTACAAATCTGCAAGGCCACCCACTATCTGTGCAATTCTGTCCAGCTGCAATGACCTTTTTGAGCTATTATGCCATGTTTGCTGCCTAGTCAAGTGTCCCAAATCTCCATACACAAGTGTCCATGACTCTTCCATACACGGGCGAACTACTTGTATACAGTATATACCAATCCAATCTTGACACGACATTGGACTCAACAGGACTCAACGAACTTTTGACTCTCCACTCAGGCACCGTGAAGATCTGGTTCCTCCGTGCTTCCGCTTCCAGCGCCATGTCGCAAGTCTCCAGTCGGGATAAATAGTCTTCCATGTGTTCCTGGCACAGGGTGTTTGGATAATACATGGTCTTTAAACATCTTTAAGCGTTTTGACCGTACCATGTGTACACAACTGCACTTGCCAAGCGTAGAGCAAATGGTTAACACTAAGCATAGAGGCGCATAACATGATCTGCCGACATGTCTAAAACAAGTCCATGCCCAATCCCCTTAGTGATCATCCCAGTTATTTTCGTGGCATACAGAATTACAAGGGGGAATAAAACATCTGTCACAGCTCGGCTTTTGTGCTCCACTCGGTTCCAAGTGACTTGTTGCTGCATGTTGCTGCCTCTCTCAAGGGATCGAGGGCTTCTCTTTCTTAACAGTCTGGCTGCGGTGCAGCCGTCCCAAAAGAACTCCCCCAATTGTGAAGTAACTCCAACTAGGGTATATCTCCATCCGTGGCACTTCCAAACTATATCTCCCAAAGCCGAGCATGTGCTCCATTTTCCTGTGGGAAATCCGCTCCTGGGAGAGGTAGACCAGCTGTTGATTGACTTCGCAACCTTCCATCTGCCTTCGCTGTGCCGCCACGGTACAGCTCTGCAGCAAGGCCTTTTTCGGAGGACTTTTCGAGGTCCGGTTGGACGAGCTGTTCGATTCCGGGCGCGTGAGGTGTGGATGCCCAGACAAAGCATAGGAGAACTTTGGAGAACTATAGGTAACTATAGGTTTTTTGTTGGATTTGCAGTTGGTCCGAATAGCCTTGCTGCAGCAAGGATGCGCATGGAATCCGTGAGGAACGAAGCACTTCTTCGTTTTCGTCTTGACCTCAGGATGTGCCTTCCACTGCCTTACACTTCCAACAAATCAACAACCTAGATTCATCCTACATCGGCCACATGCGCCCCATGCCCTTTGCCCGAAAGGAAGGACCCTCGGAGCTCGTGCCTGGGCATCCATCTGGGAGCTCGGGCGACCCCACAGTGGTCGATACACGTGACCATAGCCACTCCTCGTACCGCAGGATACCGCAGGCATGTTTGTACTGAGCTTCATCCTTCGAAGCTTTTGTATAATGAAGACTCTGGATTAGTAAAACCCCCAACAAAAATTCTGGAAGAGAGGGTATTTTCTTCTAAACCTTGAGCGTTGACGGTGATGCAACTTTCAGAGACCGAGACATGTCGACCTGGCCGGACCTGAAACACGTCTGCTACTCCCAGTCAGACGGGATCTGTCTGCCACGTGTGACCAATCAATACCGCCTCAAAAAGAGACCGAGCATTGCCGCAAGGCTTTTCTCTCGTTGGTGCTGCACTTCGGTTTCTCTCTCGATGAATGACTTTCGGTGAACTGCTGTGATTGGAGGGTGTTCGAAGCATCTTTTCACCTGGGAGTTGGTCATTCAGTTTGTGCACTTTCACTCCAATTTCGGTGCGATAGTCGCTGTTGTGTCCAGTGTGTCCACTTGTGTCCAGATTGATCCGCCCAATGGGGCGCCGCGTCTGTGCGGATTCGGAATGGGGAGGATAGAAGAGGTTTTAATCCAAATGGGTGGGTGTTATCAATCAAGAGTCTACATGATGGGAGGTATACAAAAGAAGTCACACACACAAATTATTGTGTGGCGACCCCCAGTGGAGCAGGTCACCCCCCCTGCAGGATCAGGAACAGTGTTCGGTTCGGACGTGGGTGTTCATAGTTGTCCATCTCTGAGAGCTGCAGCTTTTAAGGCATGATCTATAGAAGGCTAGCTATGAACTCGGCAGGTGCCATGCGCTTGGCGTGATTGGTGGGCGCTCACCATGCTGAGCGGTGCTCCGCCCCCGTTTGAGGTCGGTTTGACGCTTGGATCGTTGAAGTGCTTGTTGAAAGATGTACCACGGCAGTGAGTGGACTCCAAAGATCCTCTGCGGTTCTATTGACAAGGCAAACTGATCCCTATATATATAGTAAAACAAGTATACAAATAAATATTCCAATCATATTCCAATCTACCCAACTTCTTGCTGCCCAGGGTCGAAGTATTCAGGATAAACTCCCGAGCCATGTTGGTGAAAGAATTGCCAATCACCAGCAAGAGGTTGCTGCCAGGATCCACCTGCGAACAAAATCCAGCAAATGCCTCTGGCGCACACATGTGCGCCCCTTTGCAATTGACGAGATGGTCACGCCTAGCCAGTTGGCCAAATTTGAACGAAAATAGCTTCAAGCAGCATGGCAGCATGCCCAAAAGTAGACAAGGTTGTGAAGAGGAATCATTGACCGCTGGGGGGGCACATATGGCGCCAGCGTCCGTACCCGTCCGTAAGTGGTATCAACAAAAACCAGTTCTTGGCGCCAGCGACTCCCGGCGACCCGGACTCAGTCCGGTGACCGCTTTATGGACACTGGAGTCGGAGGCTGGTGGAACTTGACCCAAGAACAATACCCAAACTATTGGATGCATCATCTTCCACCAAATCTTCGCCATTCTGTTCCACCATCTGACTGCTCTCTCTCTCTCTGTCACTCTCTCTCTCTCTCTAGCTGGCTTGACCCGCCAAGCCGTCCGGCACCGTGCAACTATATATATATATATTATATCGGACAGAACTGTCCGGACCGTTGTCGTCAACCTGCGCACTGCATGGGGACGGCCTTGATTTTGGGGGGCAACGTTTCGACACCAAAAACAGCGGAGAGAAGGCCTTGGCCAGGTTGTGCAGTTCTGCACCATCACACACCAAGGTTTGATCATACCTAGGCCATGCCATTGAACAAATGGGCAAAGCTACAGGGTGATGGGCCCCAAGTTCGCTGGCTGATCAAAGCGGGTGCTTCTCGTTTCTAGATGCTCTGTGGGACGCCTCCCAGGAACTCCCTCCAAGACGGTTGATGCACAAGAGCTACGGAACACCACCAGAACAACACGCGTGGTGTGTGTGTGTGTTAGGGATTCAGGCTGTCAGGGGCGACTCTTGTCATGCACACAAGGAAATCAGAATCGGTGGGTGGCAAGTGGCAACTTCATAGACTTGTTTGAGGATATCTTGTACCCACTCTGACTCTAAACAGTGAGGCGCCTACGAGAGTAAGCCATATAAAACAGCTATTTCTATATTCATGTACATGATGAATAAACAGGCTGGCTGTCTCAATGTCTCTCAAACACATCGTCCGGTATCACCTCCAAGCTGCGCTGGGATGGCCTTGAACTTTTCAATCGCATCTTTCAGATCTGAAACGCGGTTGCTGAAAGCTTGCACCTCGCCAGCAAAAGGACATGACGTCTTTCGCATGCAATGCCTTTCGCATGTGTGCACCGCGGGCACAGCACGTGTGGATACTTATTGCATGCTGTGCGCAAACCTGCCCAAAAACAAGGAGAGAGCAGTTGCGGAACAGCTCGTCTTTGGAGCAACCTAAACCACAGATATGCATGGATACGCATCGTGGAGCTCCTGAACGTCTGTTGAACAGGTGAATGCGAATGCAGTTTTCAGACTCATCTTCAATTGATTCAAAGTTTTCAATCTTGTCTCTGTGTGGTCCACAATCATGCGAGTTGAACGAGTGGTTCAGGGATGACGGACCTCAAATTCCTGGCCGCTGATCAGATTGATCATGAAGGTCGTGCTCCTCGCGCTTGACATGCCTCTTTGAATGGGGAAGTGAGCAGCTGGACGGCGGCGGGGAGTCTGCGGCGGAGAAAAAGTGATCTGTACCACGATTTGTGTACCACTCGTTGCTTGAGTTTGCGTTTCCGGTTGAGGATTGGACGTCGCAACTAACTAACTTCCCGGTTAGGTCAGTGACCACACCCACTCGGAGTCGATGGTGCTGTGGTGCCTTTCGCAACGTAAATCGATCAACGGTCCTGAAAGCAGCAAAAATGGGTTGGCCAAAGATTCCCCTCAACTTGTACCTTTATAATCTTATAGTGTTGAATAGAATTACTGTACACATAAATATGCTTATGCAGCGCAACTATAAATGCAGGTAATAATCATATCAGCGGCTCCATGATCCGCTGCAGTTAGCCTCACTTTCAGGAGCACGTCCAAAACTGTTGCTCCAACATGTGCCATTCATGGTGGGTACTGCAAGGGTATGATCACATGTTTTACCCTAACCGTGACAACAAGGGGTTCTCGCGATAAAAGTCCAGTGCCCAGTGCCCTGTGTCGTCGGTACACTTTCCAGGGCCACACCACCCCATCTTCCAGCAAGCCGTAAGGCTGTTTATGGCTGCCCAGCTCTGATTTTTGGCTGCTCGTGGCATGTTTTGGCCTTCATTTCGCACTTATTCCCGCATTTTGTTGCGGTCCACACTGCCTGCCTCTGGGCCCAGGTGGGAAGCTTAGGAGGTTTGAGCACCCCTCCAGAAAGACAAAGATTTGTCAAAGCATCATGGCTGAATCAACCGACTAAACCGACGAAACGATATGACATGAATTGAAACGATGTCTTTTCTTGGAAGAGGGAGCCTTCATTGATCTGTTATGAATGGTGCACGTCTTTTGAGAGATGCCTGTAAAATCTTTACCTGACCCTGGGTTCACCACCGCAAGCGGTGCTTGCTGCCCCATTAGCTTGGGCATCTGATTCCGGAGGCCATTTGGCCTCACTGTTGCAGTCTGAATTTGTTTCGTTTATCTTCGCCATTCAGAGAAGGCGTCCTGAGACGGTTCGGGGAGGAAGCTTCGGTGGGAGGAAGCTTCTTTGGTATGGCCCAGCTTCGGTGGAAGTGACCAGCAGTCGGTTCTCGTTTTCTCCAGGTCTTGAATCTCGCGCAAGTGCGGGTTCTTCAAAATCTAAGCCTTCCATATACATCCATATACATACATGTTTGCCTTTCAAACAATTTAAGAGTAAGGATTGTACAAATACAGTCCAGGTAGGGTTCCTGCAATCCAAGTTTCTTGACTACACAAGGGGGCAGGTGCAAGACAGTCGGCTACGTTGTGGGGATAGTCGCTGATGACACTTGTTTATTTGCTTGTGACAGGAGAGGGGCAAGTGCAAGCGTGCAAACATTGTATAGGGGCGGTGGCTTAAATACAAAGATGCAACCTGAATAAAACAACTTGCCAAGTAGCATCTTGCCATTTCTGCAGCGCAGGGTCCACATTTCCTGAGGCGTGACACCCATGCATAAACGATCATCCATCAAAAGGAAACATCCATCAACGGCGCATTTCTCTCTACACTAAATCTCTCAACATACTTCAAAGACAAGATCATTGAATAACTCCAGGCTCATCCAAAAAACACTCCAGAAATTTAGGTCACAAAAAGGGTCAATCCATGTCAAATCCATCACAAGGTCTCAAGGGCTTCGGGAGTTGACGAATCTCCTCAAGCCATCTGAGCCAAAGCTAGTCAGAAGGGGCTTCTTGAGGAATGAAATCGAGTGGTGAATCCTCCCATGGCTCGTGGCTTCTTGAGGAACGAAATCGAGTGGTGAATCCTCCCATGGCTCGTGAGAGCTCCGAGCTCCATTTGCCATAAATCATGGGAGAATGTGAATACCCTGCAGCTTCCGGTGTCATGGATGGAAGAAAGCCGGAACAACCTGGAACCCGGAATAGCACTCTAGGGGGAAAATCAGTTGGTCTTCAGATATGGAACTTTTGCAGCGTTCGTGTGCCATCTACACCCAAGAAAAAAGACACTGCGTGCAAAGCATATGGCGCTGAACCCTCCCCTTATTCCATGTATAGATAGGCAATTGAAATCCATGCATATATGGGTCATCGACACATTTTCTGTTTATATATAAGACGGAAGGTAAGGATGATTAAAACAAAGGAAAGTGTAAAGAACACCCAGCGGAACAGGGCTGTAAATGGAAAATAGTGGATCCCTTCGAGCCGTTTCGCGGGAGTCTTCTTCAGGAGCCGAAGCAGCAAGGGCCGATTAGGGAATTCTTGCACCTGAGATTGAGCACATCACACCCTGGAGTTTGCTCAATTCCAACTGGTTGCCCGGGTTTAATCACTTCAGCCTCCTGAATTCTCCGCGCTGTTTGACTCAGAGGCGGATCTTCATGGGCCGCTGCGGCGCGGACGCCTTGATGACCTGTTCGCCGTGCGAGGCATGGCATGGCTCCGGCGTTTACGCCCGACCCGGTCACTGAAAAGGGACTTGCCTAACCCAAACAATCCTGAGTTCAACTATATATATATGTATATGTGTAAATACAGATGCATATGTACAACAATATATATATATATGTGCGGCTTTGACAGTACAGTACATAGTTATTAACAGTTATTAACTATTTGTAAGAGATAATGTATATATATATACAAAGATGCCCGAAACGACCGTTTTGTCCACTTCGCAGCGCATATGTCAAAATATAAAACAAAAACAGGAACACAATAGGAACGGAATACCTGACAAAAAGACATCCTTAGCACAAAACTACTACGGTCATCTTAAATAACGGGGGCGTTAGTATGCGTTAGTTCATATTATATATATATGTGGTACATATCCTTGACATAGTTATAGTTACAAATATAAACTATAGCACACGCATCATGTGCGCGTATCTTTGAAAAAAGAGCGAGACGCCTCCAAGACCGTTGACGACATCTATCCAACTCCGCAACCATGTCAGGATTTTCATCTGTGTCTAGGTGATTGGACTAGACCCTGGACACGACTCTGCATGGTGCAGCAGCTTTTGGACAATGGTCGCGACCATCTTGGGTTTGGAATTATCATGAATGATCTATTTGGAGAGCATCGAATCACCTTGGAAGCTGGGCGTGCAAACAGGTACCTATAGATTCTATAGATAAGCTAAGAACACTCAGAGTCGAGGTCCACCCCTTTCACCGCCTGGTACCCTGCTGCCATGGGGTTCTCCTTTCCAAAGCGTGCGATGGCTGCAGCAGCTGCTTGCGGCGCTCCGACATAATCCAAATAGGCACCCTGCGACAGCTGTGCTTCTTCGACCAACGGAGGAAACATCGCAGGTGAACTTCATCTGATCCAAGTAGCCATTCAACCCTCATTGGAGAGCACAGAGACAACGACTTCTTTGGGTTATTGATGAACGTCCGGGTGCTCTCCAAAAGTACCCTTGAAACACACGCCCCAAGAATACCCTCCGACAATGTTGCCACCAAACAACTGCCTTCTCCAAACCAAGCGTCCCCAAACACTGAACCTCTTGCCTCGCGACTGTTAAGCCAACCGAAGCGTTAACGCCGTCGCTCCCCCACCCTCACATGTTTGTTTCCAAGTGTTTCAGCGCCCTGAGAACAAAATAACTCTCATGCAATCCCCGAAGTGGATCGCTCAACCTCACGTGTAAAGACTCTTTGTCAACCTCACACATGAACGCCGCCGCACGCGAGTCGCCCGGGAAATCTCGGACCTGGCTTCCCAGGTCGTCGCCGAAGTTGGGAAGGGCGACCTGCCCATCCGAACCAGCGTGACGGATCCGATGACCGGGAGGGCACTGAGGGTAGAATGCGGCCGGGTCAGACATGGAGGCCTTTTCGTAGGAAGCTTGCTATAGACAAGCAAGTTGACATCAAGCTCCAGTAGAATCGAATGCTCTATTTGGAACATCTGGCAAGGATCTGGGTGCGCACGGTACAGTCATCACCCTGAACCATCTTGAGTTCCTATAGAATAGCCTGTGGCACTCAGTCATCCTCCTATCAAGTGAACATGGGTGAGTCTTCAGGATTTTCCCAACACACCAAATCTGACCATCCGGTCAGGGCCCACTTTCAGCCAACTCATGCCAACTACAGCCTCTCCCGCCAGAAAAAAAAAACAAACAAACACCATAAGTCAGGGTCCCAGTTCTCTGAACCTTCAGGCGTTCCGCTGTGCTCTGGAGCGTCCAAACAGCTGTGCTCTGAAGGCTCCACGGTGGCTCCCCGCCTTCCCAGGCTCCACCGCGGCGGAGAGAGCGGCATCCGACTCCTCAAGCTCGGCGATGGTCATGGGCACCGGCGAGCTCCGAGAGGGCCTGTCCGGTGGGAGATCTTCCGGTGGCTTTTGGCGGGGGCCGGGTTGTTTCGCATATCAAAGGTTGGCCTAAATTAAGAATGATATAACTATATAATATGTAGATATAGATGCAGATGTAGATATAGACACAGAGAAATAGATGGATAGATAGCTAGATAGCTAGCTAGCTAGCTAGCTAGATAGATAGATAGATAGGTGTTGACACGCCATTTGTTGATCCAAAGGCATTCTCATCTGGCACTTACTCCAGCATCTGTGACTTACAATCTGCAAGAAAACTGAGCTATGGAAAATTACCGACAAAGGCTCAAAAAGGTGGACCTCCAAAGACTCCTCCAACTCCTCCAGCTTTACACTGTAGACATCTATTGACCCATCCCTCCCTCTCGAGCGGGGAGCAAATCGAGCATCGTGGAGCTCAAAAAACACACCTGGCGGTAGGAACGGCGGCCATGGTTTCGCAGCCAGCAGGTTGCTGCTTGAGGCGTTGGAAATGCACTTGCCATGCTAACTCCAAGGAGGCGTACCTCAGGGTCTCTGAGCAGTATTGGAATGGAAAACCAATGCATTTTGAAGCTTGTTCATCAGGACAGCCCAATTGTCTTGACTCTCTATTTGTCCAGCAACAACATTGAGATTCGGGCACGGTTTACTTGACAAAAAAACTTCAATGGGACCATGTGGTCCAAAAAAAGCCGCTGATGATGATGGGACTCAGGTGGCCACCTCCGGAAGACTCTGTCTCACCCATTTCAAGCTGCTGATTTCAGTGGCACACCTTCGTTGCAGCTGAGTTGCTTGGTGCAAGTCGTCCTTGGATGCTCCCAAACATCGCATCTTTCAGTCAGGGAGCTTGGGACAGAAGCATTGGCTAGAAACCGGCATGGAATCATAAAGCAAAACTGACAGTGTTTTATATTCCTTTCGGATCTATACATGTCAAGGCAGCAAACGCAAAAGCCATAAGACGGTGCGGCGGTGCTTGGTTTCCCCATCGATGACCAAAAGCGCCTCTGCTCAGCTAATTGGGCATCTCAAACAAGTTGTAACTTAGATAATAATAGAAACATATAGAAACTATATATTTGTTCATTGGTCTTCGGGAAATGAGGCAGCGTCAATATGACTTTTGCAGGCTGTATTCATCCTGCCTGTTAGGCAGTCACCTATTGTTGTCTAATTTTTGCCAATGAGCATCACACAAGTAATCAACATCAATCTCCCACCTTTTCAGAACCACCTCTCGTACCTCGAGGAAATCCTAGAAAAGGCAACGTCAAATAAAACATGTTGGCCGACACAGAAACTTCACCATGCCCAAGCTGCCCCAGCTTCGAGGCCTGGCCTATGACCAACTGAAGCACCTGGACCTGCGGTCTGGGTCCCATGCCGAGCATCAAGTCGAAATACACGAGCTGGCCAGGCTTGGACTGTGAAGGCCGTGTCTCGAAGGCTGGAGGAAGATCCGAAAAGGTGTGACTGCCCAATGGGGCTAAGGCTTTGTCATTTCGGTACCTCAATTGGCGCCGATGGGGACGGTTTTCACGGCAAGCTCTCGCTCTGCAGCGATCAGGTCGTTTGAAGTGAGAAAAGGTGCCACGCCTCAACCTCACCGACCTTTAGCGCAAGCTTTCAATTGTCAGCCCCGTCTAGTGGACACTGGGACAAGCAAAGAGAGGAACGCACCGATGATTTACAGTCACCCTGCAGCACAACGAATATCAATGGCCACAACCCCAGATTATATCTCCCTGGGGCTAGCTGCAGGCCCAAGACTCACCATGAGCTTGCTCAAATGCTGGTTCCCTAAACGCTTACAACACGGTTCTTGTAGAACCCTGCCTTATCTTGCCTTGTGCTTTGTATCAAGCAAGCATGCGCCGCACTCATACTATCTACAATCAAACCATGATGGCTTAGTTAGTCATAGTTAGTCCAGACCGCACGGCCTGCACTGATTGGGGTCCCCTTGTCCCTCCTGGAGACTCGTATGATCGTTTGTGCTTGACAATCGTTGACATCTGCAAGATGCACTGATTTCTGCTTCACCTCATCCCCTAGGTAGAAGATCACCGTAATGATGTCTTCCTCACAGTGGCTTGCGGTGCACTATTGTTCAGAAAGCTCCTTTTTGGAACAGGCCGAGAACCTTCATCCATCTTAATCCGGACATCCCCGATTCATGATGTTCAGCCCTCTTTCGCCTTCAAGCCCCTCTGGATCCACATAGCTTCTGAGAAGGTGACTGGAGACTATTTATATCGGCTTGGAGGGCCCAAATACTTTCTGATTCTGAGAAGGTATGGGGATCCATAGGGAGTGGTAACACGCTCACTTTGCTGTCATCATTTAGATTCTCAAAGGCCCTCAGTTCGCCTCTCGATGCAGTGTGAACTGACCATCATCATGTAGTAGGAGAAACCAAGCATGGCAATCCATTTGACCGTTGAATTGAGCCCTGGGACCTCAAGATCAATAACTAGGTCCGGTCCATATCCTCGCATTCAATGGCTGAACTCTCCATTAGCCAGCCAAAGCATATATATATATATAATATATACACTCCGAAAAGCGCACTTCAAGCGCTACATTTACAGGTTGGCATGTAGACAGCATTTCTCTTCCAAACACCATGTTTAGGTTACAAGGGCCGTTCGACTTGGATTAGGCTCATCAAAAGCTGCTCCCCCCAGTCCTTGCCATTGCCTTGACTCTCCAGCTGTCCCACCTCTGCTGCATACCATCGGCCAGCGGAGGCTGAGTAGACCTGACCGAAGCGCAGCAGGCCCCTCATCTACTTCGATGCTGCACTGGGAAGTACCAGCCCACTATGAATGCAAATGCAAGTCTAGATCCTAGAGGACAAATGCAGTACCTGCTAGAATGACAGCAAGGCTTCTGTCTGATCTGCTGCAGCTTTCGCACCACCCACTTCGCATCTGTTCTTCAGAGTGGTTACAAGTTGCCTTTCCTCCCACTCTGCCATTTACGCGAGCTGCTCTGATCCCGCTCTGTCCGATAAGTCTGATTCCTGGAAACTTGCTCCACAAACAAGTTCCACGTGAAACCATCGTCAGGAAGTGTTCAAAGCTGCGGAGTGTCGGCGGTTTGTAACCCAAAACCATCCACTGATGAATAAAGATCCTTCAGGGGTTAAATCAGAATTGGTAGAAACATGTATATACATCTAACAGCAACAATTGCAACACAATATAATTAGATACAAGTAGATAACACAATAATATATATAGTATACATATATCATTAGAGGGTGTTTTATGCTGTATTATATATATATTAATTCTTATATATATATATAGTATATATTTTCTTTTTAAAGATCATGTTAGATCCACCTCCAAATACCTAGAGGATCCTAGAGGGACCGATCCACGATCCACACAAACGCTGCGACTCGCCCGGCCTCCACGATGCTTCCCTCAGTCCACTTGTCACAGGGCCGTGAACCCCGCGAGGGTCCCCCGGGCGCGCTTGTCACGCCAAGGCTGAAGCCTGGGTCAAATAGCAAGATGGGCGAGCCATGAAGATGTACAGTGGATCTGGATTGTAGATGGCACAAGTTACCCCAATTTGGGATAATTTTGGTGGTTTGGGGTTGGGACCTCCATATCTTTTATATGTTCTTTGCATTTACTCTGAAACCACTGTGCAGGAGAGTATCCCAATTACGGGCCTGCCTCATGGTCCAACATGCCAACGCGATGTTTAATGGGGCCTGATGGAGGGGTTTATTGGTAAATGAGTGATGTGGTGAACCACCCTTGTGCTGCAAATTGGAATGTCCAACCCACCCCCACTCCTTAAATGTTGAACTAGGGACCCTTCCACTGATCACCCACGGGTAACAGGAAGCAAACATGAACATACTGTGGCACAAAGATGCATGGGACCACAACTCTTGCAAAGGATTTCTGCAGGAAACTATCAAGGACCCTCTTTTTGCAATTTGATGGTGGGGCGCCTCAAGCAATGCAAAAAGATGTTGGAATGCAAAGCCCCGGGCCCCAGAAATTGGTTCTATCCAACTCCAGCATGGCTTGTGTCCAGAATACCACCTCACCACCTACCGTCCACACCGTGACCCATTCGCATGGCGTCACCACCGTCCACCCTGAGACCCTTTCGTCGCAAAGGTGTCGAGTTCGGTCCACACCTGCTGGTGCTTCTGCATCGCGGCATGGCGCCATTGGATAGGGCATGGCTGGCATGCCCAAATGACTTCCTTCGGGTGCCACGGAGTTAGCGCTGCGCGGTACGCTACACACGGGGTCAAGGTCTGGTTCAGGCTGCTGCTTCTAGTGGCTTCCAACAAGGTGCCGCCACAGGAGGACAACACTTAACCGGTGAGCTTGGCAGTTGATACTTGACATCCACGCTGTGTTCTTCATCCGTCCCACCATTGGACAGACCAACTCAATGCACGCCATGGCGCGTCCATCGTGATCTGCCAGCTTCTCGTGCGTCAATGCGTCAGATTCCACGAAGGAGTCCATATCCGTCTTGAAAGAGGGGATCCTTCCAGGTGGCTTCTTTCAACATTGTTACATCTGAATTTGGATGCACAAATAATGCCTTTATACAAACATGTTTTATCCGTCAACGTCTTCAGGCCTCCTAGTTCCATGATGCTGAAACGAGACTGGCATTAATTGTGGCCGTTTTGTGGCCAAATTTCAGGAGAACTCCGGTAGCCTGAGGCCACCATTCGAGAAAAAATCTTGCACCGCTGAAAGTGTTTGGGCCTCAGCAGTAGCCAAGCACCAACCATTCAGGCCCCCGGCCTTTCTGGCAGACTGGATGCAATGGAGGCCGCTCGGGCAGGCACGGGCACTGGAGGCCCGTGACGGCCGAAGGGCCTACGCCGGCATCCAAACGACAACAACAACAACAACAACAACAACAACAAGAACAAGAACAAGGTACAAACAAAAACTGCAGCCCCGTTACGACATATCTTCTCCCTTTGTCTCGGTCAGCTAAACCTCTGTAAAACTTCTACATAGAACCTCTACCACATCCCAGAATATCCTAGAAACAAACACTGCAGCCCCGTTGTTGTTTTTGGACCCCCCCCTCAAAAGGTGTTGTTGTCCCTACCCCCTTCCTAGAAACAAAGACTGCAGCCCCGTTGTTGTTTTTTGGACCCCCCCCCTCCAGAACATTCCAGAACAACACCTCAAAAACACTAAAAACGGACCAGCCCAGACTTCAGCGAAACCGTATCCACAATCTGATGTTCCAAAGTTACAACATGTCACGATTGTGTTGGGCGGCTGTTTTTGTTTCTACCAACAACCACAACAACAACAACAACAACATCATGAAACCATGGACATGCAAGATGAAAAACCATGAGAAAACCCTGCAACATGCCTGCATGCTAAGCGCAAACCAATGAGTGCGCCAGGTGATTATGTACTGTATGCCGAAGGGTTCACTGGTCTGAAGAAGTGGCTTTGGTCACCTGTAAGGTAAAAAATGGAATGTGCGGTTGCACATCCTTTGCCTGGCCTGTCCTCTGGCACTGATGAACAGTAGGAGCCCATCGGCTGACCTCGTCCGGCCCACGTGCAAATCGGTTCGAAGCATTGCAAAACCATATGACATGGCCTTGGTTCAAAAGTTAGACACCACACACACACATACACTACATGATGTATATATATATATAAATAAATAACATACATATGCGCGTAATATATTAGGGTTATTAGTTATATATGTATAGAGTACTTAGCGGTGAAACGAAAAGTCGTCTACCACGTGCAGGTTCCTGGGTTAAAGAGTTTCTTAAACCGGTCCTGCACCAGTCACTGGCCCTGCAGGAAATGGAACATGGACTTGTGGAACGCTGCAGTAATACCATGAAATGCCTAAGTATTCACCATGCGGTTGCCCATGTCTAAGGAAATCTTGCTGTCAGTAAGCGAACATGGCCGTGAGAACGCGAACCCAATATCAGCGCTTCTATCCAAAAAGGCCTAGCTCAGTTCACTTTCCATGCTTCAAAGCCGGCCCGCCAGTCGACGGAATATCCTTTCAGAGCGAACGGCATCCCATCCCCCTCGACACGCCCAGGCCGACACTCACCAAGAGGTCCAAATCTGCCAAATCACGGCTGCGCAAGGAGAGGGCGGAGGCCTCCGGGGGACCACCCAATAAAATCCTTGGACAGCACTGAACGGTTTCAGACCTGAGAGCCTGAGCCAATGCCAGGGCTGCTAAAAGGCAACTGTCCTCTACGAACTGTGCCTCTATTTGTGAGTGTTTTTTGGACATCCCCAGGTGAGTCCAAACATCCAAAGAGTTTTCTCTGGGCTGTTTGGCCTTGCTCCCTTTTTCCAAAGTTGGTGGTTCATTTTATATAGATACAACGGATCTCTTCGGGACATGAACATGGGGGTGTCATGGGGCGTCTTCCTCAGCCGGGTGAGTTCCAGGTTCCATTCTGCCATACAACCAGCAAGTTGGCTCAACTTGAGGTATCCTATGGGCATATCATCTGGGCATCCACTGAATTTGCCTTTTTGGCTCCAGCAAGAATGCCTTAGAAATCATGAGACCTGTCCCATGCTGTCCCCCACCTTTGGGAGAAACAAAGGGTGGCCGGCTATGTCCTCAACAAATCCACCCAACCTAGACTGAACATCTCTTTCAAGTGAGTGCCCCTTGTCTCTGAGAATAGCTGGGCCCACCCACTGATGGATGCTGGATCCGTCTGCTCATCCAAACCACCTTGGACAACCTTTCCCCGCATCTGAAGCAAGCCGCTTCCCCCTTCATCGGTGCGTCGTGGCGTCCGGGACGCAGGGACGCTCGCCATCCTGCCCGACAGTGCCCCCCATCCTCGCCGTCTCCAAGGCACTCTGGCTGGACCCTCTTGGTGGCCGAGTTCGTTGGTGATGGATTCACACAGCTTTCACCGGGCCAAAGCCCATTGTCGGCGGTCCTCAGCTGGCGGAAAAAAGGGGCTGCTTTCCATATCACTGGTTGCATCACGACATATCTATGTGTGGGAATGGGAGGTGTCGTGGAGGCAACAAACAACATGCAACTATACTTGCAACTATATATAGGGTATTGATATAGGGTGTTTTGCTTCTTCCTCTCAGTTCCCCCTTCATCTCACACAACAGGCAGCTACAAAAAGCACTGCCTCCCGGCTGCCGAGCATCATGGCTTTGGGTAGCCCATGTTTCTCTGAAGCGTTCCTCGTCAGCAGCGAATTGGCACGGTCCACCCCGAACCACCGGAGGAGCAAAGAATACGCGCAGTGTAGACTCTCAGCAGTGTAGCGCAAGCACAGTTGTCCTCATCCCATTCTTCTCTCGGCGTATTCACTTATGGCTGCACTCTACTCTTCCTCCCCACTTGCTTCATCTCGTGACCAAGCTGCCTATATCATCCTATATCTATATATGTTTAGCTATCTGTTTTCAATAGTTTTCAGCCATTCGGTGCCACGCTTCGATAAGGATCGTATTGCGAGCTCTGATGGTTGATAACCCGTGGGCCGCGCATGGTCGGCTCCCATGGCGGACCTGTAGGGGGCTTGTTGAAAACAGAAAAATACGTCAACTGTGTTCAATCCAGGATGCTGTATCATCAAACGGTATGCATCATCATCTATAGTACATCATACATGATCTATATAATAGTATGCAAGACAATGTCTCAGCAGGGGACTATTAGATGATGTTGTTTCTGACGACGTTTGGACACCCCCCCGTTCTGTCCCTCTGTCTCATCACTTGCCGACGGTGGCCAGCCTTTCGTAGCCTCAAGTTCTTGCTTCAAACTCAGCGAGGCCAAATATTCTGCAAGATCTGACCAACAATTATATCAATTTGATATACAACCTTAACGCATCTTAACGCTATGATCTTGACGGTGGCTCATATATACACGGGGCCACTCATCCTGTGGCTTCGGTTGGGCCTGATGGCATCGAAAATGGCCGCCATGGTTGAGCCGACCCAAGCTATGAGCCAAATGCTACGACAACGACCGAGGGTCATGCGCCGCCTGGAAGCTGAAGAAGGTCAATCTGAAGATCTTGGTGGTGCCAAGTCGAGAGAAACGACATGATAGAGGAGTTTGGAGAGGTTTAGTTTAGGGATCGGATTTGCAGTTCGGAAGCCCCCCGTGAATAAGATTGGAACGGATGGTATGGGAGGTAAATAAAATGCAAAAAAGTTAGCAACACTTTGGCGATACATTATAAGCCTTCAACAACTCCAATTCCTTCATGACAAGCCCTCTGAAGATCTCAATCATCATAGGTAGCATAGAGCCACCGGCGTGCGGGAGGTTCGGGCAAAGCATCGGCCTATCATGAAAGGTTGACGCTTGAAAAGGGTTCTTCGTGCCAAGTTCTTGATGAACAGCCGAGTGATCCGAGTTCAGGATTTCCTTCGAACCCTCATAGGGCCTCCAGCAATAAAACAGCTCCATTCATGCAAACTCGAGACCAGAAACAACCGCGCTGTTCCGCCTTGGGGTTGCAACAACCCACAAATGACAAGACCCAGTGGAATTGACAATGCATCTGCTGACAGGTCCTTATGGTCCTTTCTGTTCTCCATGTGCGCAGCAACAGGTCCTGCACGCGAGCGGGCGCAGGGTTGGTCTTGAAAGGACCTCTGCAAAGGTCCTACTACGCAGCGAGGGTGCAAACAGCATCTACTCCGCTGGTCTGACTCACATGGACCCTGAACAACTCACATGGACCCCTAAAGGAAATCTGTCTTTCAGGGTGCCATTTGACCCGGGTTCATATGAGTTTTCGGGAGTGTACTCCATTTCCTGCATGCAGGTTTGCCAAGTTCCCCGAAAAGTCAGGTTTGCATTTCGCGCGCGAAAACTGGGTCGCGTTGTTGATTGCTTCGCTGGGGTCGAGTGATGAGCTTGCTAGCTCCCACGTTCCAGGTCCCAAAGGACCAGTTTCTGGCAAACCAGGGTCTTTCTCAAGCACCCTTCGATATGCCTTGCCCCGACCCAGAGTAGATGCAATGTGGAACGTGGAATATTCCGATTCCGAGGAGAGTGACTGGAGTGCGAAACTCACAGATGACTACCAACCATCTCTTTTTCGGGCACGAGATCTGCAATCAAAGGCAAACGTGCTGAAGCTCCAGGTGCTGCAAATGAGCTCCTTGGATAGGATCCCACACATGGGAACACATCAGCATAAGCAAAAACAGCAAACAGGAGATAGCAGGAGATGCCCCAGCCCCCAGCTTGGAACCCCAAAAGCAAGGACATTGTCCGGGAAGCATTCAAGCACCTTTTCTTCAGCCAAGGGAGTTGACCTTCACGACTCACAATCTTGAGGCTGTTGACGGAAGTCTTTACGCGAAAAAAGGCACCATTTATATAAGTTGGCCTGCTCTTCGAGAAGAAGCACCGCAACAACGGACATCATCCCAGTGGCGCATAGTGCTGTTGAAGCTGTCTGGGCCACACACCTAAGATGTTGCGGAGGTCTGTTGGCGGGCACGAAAGAGTTTCACGCAGGTCCAAGTTCGAGGTTCATCTTCCAGGATTCTCCCAATGCAAAGGGTTTTGCAGCATGTTCTGGAGCAGGTTCTGTTTCGTCTATCGGTTATGACAATGAGGTGCCCTTCGTTTATCTAGCCTGTTGGTGCTGAAGTGCAGCGGGTGCAGCGGGTGCAAAAGCGATGCCTTCCTCATCCTTCCACCCGCTGGGGAGTTTTTGTGCTTTCTTGCGTGCTTCCGGTGGACCGGTGGCGGATGAGATCTATGGTCAGTCTGGCTTGCACCGCTGGAACCGAGATGACCTGTCAACCAAGCCATCTGACGCCATATGATCTTTCAATACAACGGTGCAAATATCTAGCAAAAAGAACCATTGGTGATGTATGGCTAATGTAGATGCCCAGGTTCACAAGGACCACTCTCCGGCCCTCCCCACGTTCCTTGCACTGCTTCGAGGAGCCATGACCAACGTCTCCTCAACTCTCCACGCCTGCGCCGCCAGGACCGCCTCGTCCAAGCGCCCCGCGTGGCGACCGGGCCCGGACCAGTCGGCCATGCGCACGGGGTGACTCACCTGAGGGTCGGCGGTGCATCTGAGGTGGAAGGATCTTACGAAGCACCCGGTCCTCTCATCTCCGGTCCTCTGCATCACCACTACTATGCAACACTAGACCATAGTGGCCCTCAGACTTGAAAGAGTGACATGCCTTCTTTTGGTCGGTGTATGGAGTTCCAGAGCTAGGAAGACTTGAAAGCACCTCATGTCCTTGAAATGGAAGAGCAGGAGAAACATTCAAGGGATACCAGTTATCAGCGGTGATGATCCTCTGATCCACCAAGCAAAGATTCTTGTTTGCAGATGCTGTAAGATTGAGTGGAGAAATGCAAAACAAAACACGGGCCAAGTCTGACTCTGACTTTCAGCCACATGCGAAATCTACTCTCTTCTCATGCCCTCGGGTTCTTTTATTGGCCTCAATGGAAGCCTACACTGAGTTTAGCAGTCCATTGGTGGAACTTTTAGTTGGGCGTACTGCGTTTGCAAGATGGCTGGCAAATGTTCCCAGCACACCTCGCTTCCAACAAAAAGCAACTTGACGTTTTGTCGGCGCACAAGGGGCTGGTGGCCCAACCTGGACGGTGCTTCGCCAAGATGTGTTTCGGTGGCACCAATCTTTGCCCACGGAGTCTACTAAGTCTGGACCCTTCCGAAAAATCCTCCGAACTGGTTCGCTTCGCTCCCGTATCCGCCCCCCATAAGCGGATTGTTCCAAACAAGTGACCGCCAACAAGAGGCTGCAAGTGGTGAACCTCGCAATCCACTGTCTCTTCGTTTCGAGTTTTTGTACGGAACCGTGGGGTGTGTTTGCTGGTCACTGCGCTTTCTGCTGCTTTGCATGCGAAATTGTTTTAAACAATCTCTGACGCGGCAATATCCATCCTTTGCACCTCCCCCCTCCCTTTCTCAAACCTTCTGATCGCCTCTTTACCAGCTCCTCAAGCTCCGTGCGGAAGGCAATCCTTGAACGATGCAACTGGATTTGACCAGAAAAGCTGTGCCACTGATTACAGTGGAAAGAACCACCGTAATGACAAAAAAAGTGGAGAGATCTCATAAATGGTTGCTTGATGCCAGATTTTGTCTGTCGTGTTTGGTCAAACTAATGTCGTGTCATGTTCGGTCAACGTTCCCGTCAACGCGAAGGAGCGATCTTGTTTGGAGTGTCTTCTTGGTCTGGCCAGAAGCACGAGGGGTAAAGATTCAACACAAAACATATGCGCGGGCAAAGTTTTATGTCAAAGTGCCATTGTCGATGCTGTGCCATGGCTTTCAGATGACGAGTTGTTAGCCGTGGCCATGACGTTGAATAGCGGGCCGGGGCGGACCATCGAGTCCTGGCGTGTTCCCTTTTTGTAGTTCGGCTGTTTTGCTTTCTGTGCAGGGGTTTCCGTATGTTCAGCCCAGAGCGGCTGGCATACCGCCGACGCTTCTCACCGGATCGTGCGGCGCGAGAGGTGTATATAGTATATACATAATACTCAAACTATAGATATAGTTATACTAGTATACTTGTCAAGGTTTTGTGGTGCAGCTGTGCAGTGTAAAGCTCGAGGTGGGTGTGCAGAAAAGGTTCTGACCCCAAAGCAATAGGGTCTTTGGTTCAATTTTTCTTCGGGTCATTGGGGATTCTCTAATGCACACTCAGTTTGTCTGAGGTTTGAGGCTTGAAGATCTGTGCCCAAGCCACCACCAAATCACAGAAATCAGCACAAGAAGGCTGCGGGATGCTGCGGGGGGTTCAAGACAGGCGCTTTATCGAACGTCTTGGACATCGAAGGACATCGCCAATACTTCCTATATCGCAGGATTCGCAGGGCTGCTATAATTGCAATCTGGGTGCTCATCCTCTGTGCGGTTGGCATAAAGGATGTCTATGCAAATGGAGCTGGCTCTGTGACCTGCAGGCCGTGGGGCGGGTAGCTGGGTCGCTCTTGTGAGACGGATGCCGCCCAAGCAAGAGGAAGGATTTGGGGTCCACCTGCAGACCTGCGATCCACAGAAAGGTCAGCTGTGTTGATCAGATCAAAGGATATGACTTCCTCACCTGTGGTCCTTGCTATACTTTTGAGGGTGGCCTCAATGACTCGGCATGACTTGGCTGTCCAGAAAGGACCCCCTTTCAAGGAACTAGAAAAACACATGAAGGCGCCCAACTGACTTGCACATCTAGTACTGGATTTCTACTATCTGCACCGCTTGGACGTAGAAAACAAACAAAGTGATAAAACTGGTCAATAGCCTTGTGCCACCCAATCTTGAAGTACTTGGATGCAAGGCGTGATGCCACTGCCAGCAACCACAAAGACCAAGCCTCAGCTGCATGAGTGATGCACATCGGCTGAGCAAGCTGCCACCACAGAGGGACCTTCATCCGACCCGCAAATCGGCCCAACAGGTTGAATTGGCCACGACGTCTTCCTTGTTCCGAAGCTGCGCGGGCCCCGAAGTCTTCCAGGCCCAGGAGACGGCACCCACAAGCCAGTACTTGTTGCAGGTCACCCAGGACAAACTATGACCAACTGACCACAGAAGACGACTCTGAATTGGTGTTTCAATTCTCTACACCGTACACCTCTTCGTCGCCAAGAAACGTTGAAAGGATAGAGTCTCTGTTTCGGCCCTGGCAGCCATCAGAATGTGGGAAAAAAACATGACAAATGATGACAGAACTGTGTCACTTGGCTCCAAAGAACCTGCGCTGCTCAAGTTCACCCTCCAGCCCCAGTTTACTCGGCCAACCCATCGGTGAGCTCGCTTTTGGTGAATTCTTCTTCCCGTCCTGGTGAGCGTTCGGGATGTCCAGCAGATGGTCCAATCCTACATGACCCGGCCGCAGACGCGGCCGCAGTTACGCATGTTGCTGCTGAGAGACGCCGTACGGCCCGCACATCTCCAGCAATTGCCCTGGAGCCATCCTCGGCAGCGAAAAGAGGTCTTTGGGTATTCGAGGGACTGCAGTTGAGCTTCCTGGTGACCCAATTCGGCAGAAGAACGCTTGCAGGGCACACTGGTGCCGAGGGAAGCATTGGATTCTCGCGGTTTGAGCAGGGCTTTTGATCCTTCACCCCTGGCGTGGTCCCCGAAAAAGTGAAGAGTCAGCGTGAGTCACTGGCCGCCAAACACTCCGAATGCACACCCCTATATCTGGGATTGGGTGTGCAGAACTGAGGAGGAATTGGCAATCCAAACTTGCAAAACAATGGCAACCTTCAATGCGGCTCCAAAAGCTTGGAGGCACAGCAAGTTAAGGCTTCTGGCCATCAAATGCATGCCCAGAAGCTGAAAAATCCTTATACTGCCTTATATATATATATATATAGTACATAGTTATTTATTTATACGTGTACCGTCTGTATACCTATATCTGAATGCATACTCCACACTACCTATCGTATTGCTAAAGGACACGCACATATACTGCTAGCATCTGCTAGTCACATACTACAAGTCACATCTATTGGACCACCCCACGTCTGCCCTTGCGCTGCCTTTGCGTTCGAGCATCTTGACGACTTTGGAGCTCAAAGCGCCCTCCTCATAGACCTTGATCGCCAGCTCAAAGCTTCCCAAACGACCCAGCGGTGACACTGGCGTGTACGCCTCGGTCGCAGCAGTCCGCGTCAGAAGCCGCAAACGAGGATGGAGTGCTTTGACCGGGCGTTTTGGGCAGGATGAATCACACGTAGATACGGGAGGATGCGAAAGAAAGGGGGCCCAACAGGATAGGCTAGAAGATTCATACCAAACATGCCAAATTTGGAATGATGAACCATCAAAAAAGCCATAGAAATTAGACACATAAATATGGACAAATCATGACAAATCAATGGTAGACTAGACTGGCTCATGGATTGCGGGATATCATCATCACCGTGAAAGCATGGGTCATCTATCTTGCCATTGTGCACTGGCATCCTCTGGTAGCCGAGGGGCACGTTCCAACGATGACCCCGGGAGGCGTAGACGCACCTGAGTGGCCCCAAATTGTCCCCACAACATGTCGGCAATATCACGAAAAGCAGCAACACCCTCAGTTCTTCTTCGGACGTGGCACTCTCCTGTTTCTTCAAACTCCGTGATCATTAGTTGTATCATGAGGCCATCTGCATCTGGGGTCGAGAAAGTGACGAACACTGAAACTCCTTCATGCAGTGCTTCGAGGATGAGTCCAACCGCATCCAAACCAAAAAGCAACCAGAACACACGAACGTCCGGTCCAGGCGCGTGTCGTTCCACTTCGTTCCATCCAAGCGATTGACCCTCTGGCAAAGCAAAGCGGAAGAGCCACATGCTCTTGGTCATTCGCTTCTTACCTGACACCCGAATGAGGAATTGGGCGCCCGTAGTATCATCGCAACGACCACAAGACCGTGCAAGAATCTCCCATCTCCCACCAAAAGGACCATATACTTCAGCCCAAAAGAACGCCCGGAACAAAAAGCACACACACTCTGCTCAAGAGGTTTGAGCAAAGTACCAGTAGATTTAATATGATGTAAATTCAGCGTTCTAGTGAATAAACAGGAACTTGCAATGAACTTGCAATCTGTTTCCGCAAAATGGATCATTGCTGGCCCTGGCTTCTTTGTTCTAAAACGGGGGGTTTGGGATGTTTGATGTTTCCCAAAGGCTATGGGACTTCCATCGGTTGCCAAGTCTTTTGTGGGATCTAGTCCTCCGGTACTTGAGATTAATTGAGTACATGTCACCAACAGAAACTGGACATGGGTCAACATGCATAGTTCCGATGGGCGGATAAGGCCAAGGCTACGACCTCCCTGAGAGATCGAGAGACGAGGACGGCCACGCAGCCTGGTCGGCCCTGGTCACTGGTCTCCTAAAGGTGCCTGACCGATGGTGGAAGCCAGTCCTCAAAGCTATACAGTAATTAGGGCCACTCACTGTGCCCCTGATTTCGGAGGGACCCTTCCATACAGTTTCTTTGGATTCCTGTGGGCTGGTCCCATGTGCTTCTTGGATCTTCACCCTTCACACATCTGCTCGCCACAAGTCCCGAGCGGCTCAGGATCCGAACGGGCCGCCATTCGTGTGGCACCAAGCACAAAGCCTCGCTGGGCGGCGCTCGCATGGGAGGCGGCGACCTCAACGCTGAAAGCACGAGGAGCGAGCGACTCAGGGGGAGATGGCAGGAACTCCTCACAGTGATTCAAACAACAACAAACATACACACCAACTCACTAACACTAACATTGAAGTGGACCATGGTCCCTTGAAAGGCTACTTTCCTGGAGGTATTCCACTTCCATGTTAGTGAGTCGGAGTGTCTTCGGGCCACGTTTGATGCTTGCCGTTGTTCCTTTTGAACCCCGTTTTGGATCCGCAAAGTAACATATAATAACCAGCTACACTTCTCACCTGAAGCGAAGGTGATCCACCTCAACCTGCATCCTCGCAGCTGAGGTCCCAAACGCTTTGCCCGAACGAATTTCTGCCAGCACCTGTCGTGCTGCGATGTGGCTCCAACTGCTCGGTTAGACCCTAGCTGCCCTAGCTCGTGCCCTCCCTGTCCCCCACATGACATGCATTCAAAATCTCTACGGCTCAAATGGCCTAAGCCGAACTCCACAAATCACAACAAAAACACCTCAAACCTCCAAAACAGCTGGCAGCAAGCCCCAAATCCGACCAGCACAACAGCTCCTCCTCCCCCAAAAGCAAGCAGCATTGACATGACACTTCTCTCCAACACATATACGCGTTTTTGTGCAATCTGCGCTTGTTGGACCATATCTGTTTGACAAAGGCTCTTTGATGCAAAGCTTTCTGGGCACTTGTGACCGAAGTCCTCCACTCCGGCAGAGCACCTCGCCACTTCGCTTATAGCCGCTTGCAGGACTCTTGCCATCTGGAGCAAAGGATTTGTCACCTGGGATTGGTTCCACTCAAGAATCAGCTCCAACCTTCTGGTTCACGTGTTGTCACAGGGGGTCCCTGCAAATGGTAACTCGAAGGACATTATATGAGAAATATTCATGATTAATTCTTGAATTTTCTTGCTTCGACACATGAGTTCAAACCAGCGATTTCGAAGAGCTCGGTCTGGAGACCATCAAAGCAAAACTCAAAGCAAGCAAAGCAAGCTTGAGGCCCTCTCCGCTGGTCACGTTCTTGGCGGCACTCGCGTTGTAGGCGAACTGATCGCTTTCAAACTTGCCCCCACTGCTCAAGCGCACCCAAATGCCACCTTCCTGGATTTGCCCCAACTTGCAGTCGCAGTCCCATGGTTGTTTGCATCGCGATGCATCGCGTGTGTGTTTCTCCATCTATCTTGTTCCTCTTGAACGTGCACATGTTCCAAACTCAACGCAACAGCGCCAAAATACGCTTTGGATACCGGGCCATACTCTGAAACCACTGTACCTGACTTCCGCCAAGCATCAGGCGAATCACCTGCTCTCGACATGACCTCATGAGTGCGTTGAGTATTCTGCGTGTACTTCCAGCCATCGGGGCTCAACTTCCTGCGGGATTCGCGTGACTGGGCTGCCAGTACGGGGCTACCATCGGTACCCAAATCCGCTGACAAGAGGACATGCAAACTACAGTAAAACCTGCGGGGTCCAGGGTCGTAGAATGTCGTAGTCATAACAATAATACAATACATAGATCATGATTTACAGACATTCAGTGATGTAATCTCAGCCACACCTGGTCATTTGGGTACCTAAGACTAAGGCGTCATCAAAGATATATGTTCAATTTTTTTGTCATTATGGCATTTGACCATTTTTTTTGATCATTACGGGTTTTGCCCAAATACGATCAAATACGGCCATATAGGGTTTCCTCTCTTGCCGTAAGTGATGTTACCGCAAGTATAAATAAACCTGTCAAAAGCACACCAATCACTGGATCAAACTCCTGGTGACTGGATCAAACTTCATGGACTGATAGGGCTTGGCACCATCCACGAGGCCTTGGTGGCCGTCGGCTTCATCGATCGGCCGCTTCAGAGCGGAATCACACGGCCAGGCTTTAGAGCCTAGGCACCTCAGCTAGGGCTTTAGGGCCCTACCATGGAGCTGCCGATTGAGTCTGGCCATGCTTCGTCTGGGATCTGTCGACTGTTTGGGGCCCACAAAGTAGCCATCCTTTTGACCTATCCAGACTGACAAGTTCGCCGTGTCAAGCTCGATCTCAAACACCACTTGGTTTTCCCCCATGATATGAACGTTTTACAGTAGCTTCCAGTGTGCGTGACCAAGTTGGCTGATTGCCTAGTGGCGTACACTATAGTCATGCCACGGGCAGCGGATGCAACGTTCACCTCAAATATAGCGTGTGCGCGTAAGCGGCAAACGGAGCCCTTGTAAAACCACGGGGTCTAAGGAGATTGCAGGAGAAAAGCTTGACCAACAATATCCTACAATGACTCATGTATCTATCAATGCATCTATCAATCGCAAAAAATGGGTTGGCATGGGTTGGCTTATTATAGGTATGCTTAGGCACACTAGCTGGAACCAAAGCCGGGCCTGAAATGTTTCAAGTTCTGGCAATGTGTGCATCGCCCAATGGCCATTGCAAACGGGAGACCGTTGACATCTTCAATGTCACCCAGGGCCAATGGCCCACCAGTATGGTAACAAATCGAGTCCAAGCAATGCCTCGGCTGAACGAATAGGCTGACCTGCAAAAAAAAGAAAACACCACTCTGCAAAAAATCATCGAAGAAAGGGGTAGATCGTTCATGTCGACCATCCTTGCGCACCACATCCTCTGCATCTATAGTCACCCTACTGCGGGGGGGGGCTGGTGCTTGGAATCCGGCCGCGCGCGTTCCGCCAACATCAGTCCACTCTTAAAGCCAAGTGCAGAACTTGGCCATGACGAAGAATCGAGATGTATCGTCCTTTCACTTGAAGATGAAGCCGGTCTTTCTCGGATAAGGCGCTGCCTGAGAGGATGCATGGGACCAGGCGCTGCCTGACCAGTGAGATCTACTGGGTGGGTCTGTTTCCATCCATGAATCGATTATATAATGGATTTAATTCATTGGCGTGTATGAGTTGAACCGGGCATCATAAATCATGGAATCGCGGCCGGGGCGCTATCTGCCACGCGGAGCCATTCGCCTGGCTCTTCTTTCCTAAGTCACCCGCAGAAAATAGCGAGCACTATGAGCCACATGGGCCAACTAATTACTGATTCACATTGAGCCCCACCATCCCTTGATTCGTAAAAAAGCCCGCAATGTTCAAGAAATTATGCCCAATTGGAGGCGAGCTATGTGTTCAAAGGAGGTACGCAAAATTGACATACGTTACATTATGTTACTATCACATCCAATCTGCCCGCACCTTGTCGCTGGCTCTTCGGCAGCCATTCTGCATCACCATGGCGAAAAGGTATCGGCTTGGAGTACAAGTGCGGGTCAAAACCAACGCCAGCGAAACACGGTAGGCGGTTTGTTCATCCTTGAGGTGTGATATCGGACGGGGGTTTTGAAGACCCAAGACCTTGTCATGGCAAGTGTGACTGATGAGCGTGGGGGCACTCAAACCAAGTGCAAGCAGGTCGCATCGCATCAGACTGCTGCATACGACCAGGAACTCTAGCACTCTAGCTTAAAGCATGTCATCCTGCACCCTAATCTCACTATATCTCACTAATCAAGTTTTACTTTGCCCGTCATCTGGGTAGATTCGAGCCGTTCAGATTCCATTGGCTGGGTGGCCAGAGCTGGCAGTCATGACGGACATTTTGCTATCATTAGGTCCAGTTCAGCTGAGTAGTTGGAACGGCCTGGAAGTGGCCCCTGAAACGAGATGAGGTGATGTGAGATGAAGAGAAGTCTTTCCAGGTCCTAGGTCGCCGCCAGTGCACCGGAGTGTGTTGTGGGAACCGGGTGCTGTGTGCCCTCCCTACATGTTGGGCTCAAACCCGGCCTTGGCTCCAAAAATAGAAGATATGCAACAGTTGCAAAAAGCGGCGCTTGCGACAACATACGAATGAATACAGGTCAGCCCTGCTTCCTTTCGTAGACCAGTTGTGACGTCGTGGGCAACCTCTTATATAAACGTGACCATCGTGACCATCATATAAACTAGTTCTCTAAGCGTCATTCTTTGGTCCCGCCTGATGCCCTAGCAACTCGAAGCCGGTGGTGGCCCGCCCCTCATCGTCCACAGCAGCTTGGCGTCACCAGTGAACCCTGTCCACAAACCAAACATGACGAACACAAGAATTGGCTAGTCCACGGCGTCCACGGTCCTCTTTTGGCCCAAGCAGACACGGTCACAGAGCCAACACACCTGCTGATTTGATTGGCCACATGACGATGAAGTATGCCTCACATATGAACTCCAGAAAGCTGAGAGTAGTTCTTTCAGCAGATCAGTTGACCAGTGGCGCTGTTTTTTGGCCATCCGACTTTCAACCAGCTAAGTGCCCCACTAAGCGCCCCCTTTCGACTCAGGGGCGATGTGCCACTCTCGCACATTCGGCGAGGGGCCACTCCCTCCAATGAAGACGTCGTCCCTGAAGCGTGCTCGATGGGTCAAAACCTGGAGCCCGACCAGTCCACCATTTGCCGCGAGTCCGACCTACCGTTGGCAGGTCAATCAAGGTATCTTGGGTTTGACCCACAGCCATCTCTTCAGCTGAGTTGATCGAGTTCAGCCGCTAATCTGGAGGGAGCCGATTAAGTTGGGAAAATGGATGAAAGGCAGGCAGCGTGTTGAATTGACTTTGCACGACGTCCAATTCAGCACAGGCTCCACAAATGAGAAGGATTGCTTTTGGATTGTTTGGAGGGACAGTGTGCAAAATCAACTAAGGGCGGATTCATTCTCCTTGACGCGGACTGCGGACCATACTCCAAGAGTTACAAGGTCACGTCACGAGTTCATTTGCCTCTGTCCTCAGTTCGGCTTGCTCGACCCTGGATCGATCTGGCACACCCGAAGAGGCCCCGTTGTTCCCATGTTAGGCCAAGAAGGTCTTGTAGCTGGCTTCATGCAGAATGGTTTGCCCTATCTCATTCTTGACCTATCTCATTCTGCCATTAAAGAGGACTCAACCCTTCCTGCAAAGACAGTTTAGAATGAACAGTCACAGATTTCGGTGTTGCAAGGATTCTCTGCTTCCCTCCTTGTCCGCAACCGTGCTGCTGGCAGCTTGCTGGGAGCTGCTGTATCTCATAGCAGCCGTGGCCATCCACATGGCAGCGGGCCACATCTGCCTCCACAAAGAGCTTCACAGAAGCATGGAAGAACTTCCTAATAAGGCTTTGGGTCCATGATGGTTTTTGCCGTAGCTCGTGGAGCTTGCCGTAGCGAGCAACGGCGAGCAACGGCCTTTTAACCATCAACCGAACCCAACGGGACTCACCCTGAGCACGTCACATCAGCCCATTTGTGATGTCCCCCACATGTACACCGACATCCGGAAACGAATGCCTGTCGTTTTCACGACCGGTGGGTTGGCACTGGAAGCATCCAATCAGTTCGGGTTGGTGTTTTTGCTCATGTGACTGATGTGACCGACACCGCACTTTGATGACTGACATCGCAAGCTGCCATAGTGATCATCAATTGGTCGAGCAGGTCATATGTCTGTGAAGCCTCTAACTGCGAAACCGCTGCCATCCCCTACCATCGATCAAAGCCATTCGGCGGCTAAACAAATCAGTTGCCTTCTTGACGTATTTGCATTCGCGTCCGCTCTGGCCGCATTTGGTCCAATGCACACCGCGGCCACCGCCTGGTTCCAACGAACCAACCATCTGGGTGGATCAAAAATGATCAAAATAGGTATTTGGCTTCACCCCTCCCTCCCAGAAAAAGACCAGGAAAGAAAGCTAACACCGAGGGAAAAAGGCTCCTTATGTTGATCAGAATGTTTTCTTTTAAAGTGGGGGACGGGTTGGCTGGCGCCCACGCAGGTCCGCCACTTGAGGCAGGAACGGTGGTGTCAAAAAAAGGGACAGAAATCCCGTTCCAGTCAGGCCACAGCTGAAAGACGTCGAATCCACGGCTTTTTCGGCTTCAGGTGACCTGAAGTGGCAAGGAACATCCATGGGATCATCATGAAATCCATGCAAAGACCCAGCCGTCTATGCCACCGCAGTCCCACGGTTCCTCTGAGCAGCTGGCACATAGCTTGCCTCGAGCTGAGGGGAGAAATCTGAGGAGCCTGACGGTTGAACTAGTCTTTGGTATTCAGTTGGAACTAGAACAAACGCAGACCCTAACCTAGAATGATCCCAACGAAACCTTCGGTGGCCATGTGGATCCCGGAGCAGGAGGGTGACTTCTGGATGTTCTTGCAGCCGTAGTGCAGTCTCGCCGGTCATCAGGTGAACGAGGTCAGCATGAAGAGAAGCATCCTCCATGATGAAGAAAAGACCACCACGAGCATTCTGGGAGAGATCGCATGTACCCTGGCCAAGGGCACAAATACATGGACACTAATCTCACACACAATGCATGCCATACACGGCAACAGGTCCAGCGTTAGTCAGACTAAGTCAGCTGCCGCTTCACCTGTCTGCCTGCATCTGATCAATGTAATTTTTGGAACCCCTCTTTCTTGCACCCTGGCGCAAATTGCCCAAACCGCAGAGAAACTTGCGGAAAAAAGCGGGGCCAAAGCCTGGGGGTTGTCATCAGGATTCAAAGCACCCTGTTGATTCCTCAGTGTTACGGCACTGCCGGAGAGGAACCCGCCCCGTAGGCCTGCCTCACCGCTCCCAGCCGAACTAGACATGCAAGATGACATGCACTGATTCACGAATGACCTGCGTTTTCCTGGAGTCTGCATGGTGGAGTCCGCAACCGGCAGACTGATGGTGTGACGCTGTCTCAGCTTCTCCAACCGATCTACCTTGCGGTGTCCCACACCTTGGCCGAGGTCCAAATTCCGCTCAGCAGATGAGGACTATAGGTTTCGGTCTGGTCAAAGAGAATGCTCTCCGTTCGCAAAAGTGAGAGAATGCTCATGAGAGTGATCCTTCTCTCCGGGGCGCCAGTCGTGAGACCGCTGGGTCGTGAAGTTCGTGGATCATAACGATTCAACACAAGTGTCCAACATCATCATCCCTTACGTCCAACCCTGCCAGTCTGCAAGACTTGGGGGGTTCTACCCTGCGCCAGCAGGAAGGACTTTTTCATGGTCGGACCTTGCTAGCGGTTTGCTGGTGATGAGATTTTCACAACCGTTGCAGGAACACGCTAAGCCCCACCTAAACCCCTCCAAAGAAACGACTACTCCAATGCCCCCTCAAGTTTCTCTACTAGATTGCCAAGCCACATGTCTCCCATCACGGCCAATTTGGGTCCTGAACCCAGGCTGTGCGCCAACTTTGCATGGTTGGCGTCCTGACAGTCTGAGACATGCGAGTGACAACATGGCCGCCATCCATCAAGTCACTCGAGTCCGAGACAAACATGTCGGGTGTGTGGTGGTTCTCGTGAAACTGGTTGATCCGTCAGCATGGGGTTGGTCTATAACGGTCTATTTGTATATAGCTTGTCCGTATGACCAATAGGTGACGCTGGGGGGTACTCCTATTCCTCCCGTTCAAGGTGCTGCAACATGTGGTGCCTTGTGGGTGAGAGCCTGTCCGGGCCTGGGGAAGGATGGGGCAGCTTAAGAAAAGAACAGTGATGAACACTCGAAGTCCGAAGGGGATGGTTTCACTTATCCAGGTCATTCCTGAAACTCTATATATAGATGGCCCGCCAAGTAGGCAATCTCGCAGCCTCTCGGATGCACTTATATACGTAGGTTGGAAGGGTAAATCCACTCACATCCACTCACCCAATTACTGGTGACTGGTGCCGAGGCTCAGCATCCGGCCGGCCGAGGAAGGTGAAGTTGACGCCTTGCCACCTGGGAGGCCCAGGCCATGGAAAAACATGGCAAACAAGTATTTGCTTGGGGAGCCGTCCAAAGGGTGCATGATTGCCTGAATGCTTGCTCCATCTTGTTCCACAAGTCTTGGGCCCGATGATGGCACAAATGATCCCATTGCATGGCCCATGGCAAGCAAGCATGGACAATTGCTTGGTCAGGGAGCGGGCCTCGCTTCGGAATGCCTGGAATGTGTGAACAAGGTGAACACCCCAAAACAACAAACCAAACCAGGGAATCCCCCCAACTGTCCCGGCCATCCGATCCATGCCCAATCGATCCGTGTGGCATATATCACGAATGACACATGAGGGTACACATGAGAAACACACCCCTCGACGCACAAGTCACCTTGACTAATATACCTCCAAGATCGAGGGAACATGTGCAGGTGACGAATTTGGCCCAACCAAAGGCTGTGACCAAAATACGATGCACAAAAACTGCTTGCGCGTTCCTGCGCGCAAAGGGTCATTGCAAGCTATGGACATGTTCCACAAACTCAGCTCCGCACTGGCCACTCAAGGCAACTTGGACTTCCGGCGACGGCTTCAAGCTTGCATTCCAACAACCTGGCGTCAAATGGGAAGCTGTGTATAACTGCCATCGACCTGCGTGACCTTGTCTTCAACGCCTCTCTCGCAACATGCGAGCAATCCTCTTAGAGGCTTGCAGTCCTGCAGGGCAAGTTCACCAACAGCGTTTTCGTCATCCGCCTGGCACAAAGCCGCCCTGGGTGGAGTTGATGGCCGGCACGGTCCACCAAGTGGCGGTTCGCAGTGGTGTCTGGATCAGGGAGCTGATCAAATGCCACGGAGGCACCTGGGAACATGGCTGAGCAGCTACATGAAGGGCATAGACGAATGATCCATTCTGAGTTACTGATATCGATTTTGTGAAAAATCCATGAAAACATGGCACCCTCTTCCAGGCTTTCTGGTGCAAACAGGGTGGACAATGTCCAATGAGTTCTGCTTGAAAAGCGGTTTCTCCAGCTCTCTGCAGCCCCTCACCAAGGTCTGGAGGGAAGTGTTTTTGAAACGTGTGGGAGAAGGCTTCAAGCGCTGAAACAGGAGTCAAGCGCTATGGAAACCCTGTTTGTATCTTTTTGTGGGTGAGCCGAGGCTACTGGCCAGACCAACAGCTGAAGAAGTGCGAAAAAAAGTGGTGGGTGAGCCCCAGATCAAGGTCTGCTTCGCAGGAGTCCGGAAATGGAGTGCACGTGATTCGATCGATCGCTTTGGGCTTGGCAAACCCAAGCTCTTTCTGGAACTGACCCTCCTTGGCAGTGTACGGGTCTCAAAGACCTATCGTTCTGTGACGGTCCGTAGTCGGTCCGTGTCAGGGTCGATTACGGAACATCCAACAACTGCATCGACCCTGGCATGTCGTTTGTTTACTGCCGTGATTGGCTCCACTACAAGTGGGCTTTACCAGGAGATTTCGGACATCATAGCATCTGAAGTCCAGAATATGGCGCCTTAAGTCCAAAAATTGAAACTGCGAAACATGACGTGCATAGCCCTTAGGTGCGTGGTTCACATGGATTGAGGCAGCTTTGGAAAGTAGCTGTGCTTGCCCGTGTTGGCGAGCATAGAGAAGATGTTTCGTAGAAACAAGTGCAAACATGGCACCTGAAGCCCTGAAGGTTTTGCAATCAATCTTACCTGAAGTCCGCTCCTGCAGCTTTCGTGTCAATTGTTTTCTTCGTGCTCATGACCTGAAATTTCACCGGCCCTTGTGGATCTCTGTGTGTTCAAATGCCTTCAGTACAAGATGCCAAGATCTCGCCAAAACCACACAAAGCACTTCCTACACCGAGCTACTCCTAACTTAGACTCGCCAGCTTAAAAGCAAATCTCCTCAGACTAAACCACTTGGGCCTTCTCTGACTCACCGAGGTGGGAACTCTCCTTAAGCTGATCTCAGTTTGGAAAGGCTCCAAATTGTCCAAGACCTGTTGCCCAAGCTCTCTCGCCGCCTGCTGCAAGTTCGTGGGGCCTCCAAAACGCTTTTTCATTCACAGATCGACGACGGTGCGAAGAGCCTGCCTGATTGGTTGTAGGCCTTCTGAGCAGCCATGCCCCCCCGACGTTTGAAGCAACTCATCGAGAACACAACGCAACCAACGTTAAATTTGACCGTTAAATACCGTTATATAAGTATTACGTTCAACATCTTTCCAATGTTGTCACCCTCTTTCGTGCTACTCTTGTTAAATATAGTCCCCCACCCCTTGGCAAATTTGGCTCCCTCGGCGGCCTCCGGAGAGCTTCATCAGCTGGGAATTCTTGGGATCCGTCACCACCGAGGCCCTCTGCAAGGCCTTCAGGACCTTCAGCGTGTCCTCTGCAGAGGACAAGCGCAGCGCCAGGAAATGCTGGGCCACCAGGACGTTGTCGTCCTGTTTCAGGCACGACAGGCGGTTGTCGATGGTTGTCGGCTATCATGGCGAGTCAAGCTGATCCACACCAGGGTTCGGTTCACTTCGTGAGGCTTTGTGTGAAGCCTTCAATCTTCTGAAACAGAAGCTGTACTATTCACAAAACAGCTGGACATATTAAAGGCTCTCTGGTGTTCCGACTCAACCCATGCCGGAACTGAATGTTTCAATCGAATTCTGGCTCCTTGCAGCAGCCAAGCGTATTGCCCTGCTCCTTTCGCGGGACGCTGGAAGTTGCAGAGCCTGCCGTCAGGGTTGTCCAGATGACCTGTGGTGCATATTGTATATACTTGAGGCCAGAGGGGGTGAACGAAAGCTAGCCGGGCTTCCGGTGGTCTGCTGCTGGTGCTGCTGCTG